ACCTCCAAAAACTGTGAGATTCACCAGCAAAACACAAAAACGTGTGGGAGACTCGCATGTTGAATAGGAAAAACATCAAACCATATCAAACCATGATTGCTCGTTGCCGTCTAGATGATGCTGTCATTTATTTTTAAAAGTGTCATCCCGAAAAAATTGAGGGGTCTTGGCAGGCTCTCGATGAGTTCTTGGCTAAGTCTCAGTCCCAAATCCGAGACCTGGCTGACAAACTGCTGTGGTTTCAGCTGGAGAGATAAGAGGGGTTGCTGCTGCCCCACCACGAAGAGGACGAAGAGGCTGAAATGTGTCATTTCTGGATAGCGGAATAGCATGGAATAGCAACATTCACACCACGAATGAACTTTGTGAATAGCTGATTTCAGCTATTGAAAACACATCCCATGAGAGCAAATTTGGATGTCTAAACAGGACCTATCAGTTGCAGAGAATCCCATCCCTGATAGAAAACACCCAGAAATTCTGGTGCACTGTGGTGGATTTGTTCAGTTTGAAGTTGACAGGGTAACCATCTAGCCATGCTGCGGATTGGAAAGAGATGGAGCACCTCAGCACTGAGGATTCTGCTGAATCATAGTTGTTTTTCCCAACATTATTGGAATGGAAAGTCTCGTATCTCACAGCTTCTTTTTCCGGGACTGTTTGCTACCGACCAGTGATAGCCATTTCCGCCCATTTCCAACGAAGACGGTGGAATATGGTGGGTAAACCAAAAATGACACCACCCATTTGGGAATGGTTTATAACATTTTATAACCACCTATAAAAATGGTGAGGACTGGGGGATGGTTTATTATGGTTTTACCAACATTAGTGAAATTAAATCATCTCAAAAAAGGGGTTAAAGAAAACTTTTCCGCATCTTTTGGGTGCCTGGGTGCCTGGGTGCCTGCGTCCGCATCTTTTAGCTCCAAAAGACCTAGCATTTTTTGCTGGTTGGTGGTTTCGAATGAAGACTTGTTAGCATTTTTTATCCCTAAAATTCAGATCATGTTCTTTCCAATCGACTCTCTTATTTTCTAAAACCATATCATATATAGATGCATATGTATAGAGAATATGGAATGATATCATATCTTTCCCAAAAATACAATTTGATATGAATATAATATATATATATATGTATATAGTTATATGTTTAGATATATATATATATATACATATGAAAAATCATTTTTTCAAGGCATCTTCAAATCATACATATCATAAAGACATCTCCCATATCTTCCAACCACCGACCGAAACGAATTCAACGTGGCTCGACGGTTAAACCGTCGCGCCCCGATCCGATGACCGAGCCATGGAGCCCGGCGACGTCGCGCTTCGCGGCGACGGCGTCGGATGGCGCGTCGACGCACCATGAAGCCTCAGGTGGGGGCCGTGGGGGTTGGAACCATACGAAAACCATGGGAAAACCATAGGAAAATTGTGAAAACCATTGGGAAAACCATGGGAAAATTATGATTTCACTAGGGAAAATGGGGATTTCCATGGGGATTTATAGCTGACTTATGGGTTGATGGGTAAGGTATGACACATTATAAAACATTATATCCTGTTTATATCCAGAATTTAATAGAACATGAAATTACATAAAACATGTTGGAAGCACCAAACATGAGATTGATTGGTGATTTCTGGTAAGTTGGTGAACAGAATTAGGTTGATTAATCATGGTTGACAGGATTTGACAGGTGGTAAACAGCCATTCGAAATGGCGGTATAAGCATGTACAACCAACATATACTTCCCGGCGGAAGGGAAACCGCGCGAGCGTTTTGATTGGTTGCTTCCATGAGAGTCACAATCACCTGTAATTTACAATATAAAATGCTCTTCCGATCAGTTTGGATAACTGAATTTGGGTTAAAAAAAAGTGGATGCAAAATCTATTGATTTTTAAACATGGAACGTAGTAAACAATCCCAGAGATCTTAGCAGCGTAGCAACATGTTACGTAGTAAACGATCCCAGAGATCTCAGCAGCGTAGCAACATGTTACGTAGTAAACGATCCCAGAGATCTCAGCAGCGTAGCAACATGTCACGTAGTAAACGATCCCAAGGATCTCAGCAGCGTAGCAACATGTAACGTAGTAAAAGATCCCAGAGATCTCAGCAGCGTAGCAACATGTCACGTAGTAAACGATCCCAAGGATCTCAGCAGCGCAGCAACCTGTAACGTAGGAAACTATCTCAGAGATACCAGCAGCGTAGCAACATGTAACGTAGTAAAAGATCCCAGAGATCTTAGCAACATCGCAATATATCCTGTACGAAGTTTGAGGAACGTTAACATGCCCCCCCACCCCACCCCACCCCAACCCCAACCCACACTAACATGGCAATATATCCTGTACGAAGTACGAGGAACGTTAACATGCCCCCCCACCCCACCCCAACCCCAACCCACACTAGAGATCTCAGCAGCGTAGCAACACGTAACGTAGTAAAAGATCCCAGAGATCTTAGCAACATGGCAATATATCATGTACGAAGTACAAGGAACGTTAACATGCCCCCCCACCCCACCCCACCCCAACCCCAAGACAAAGAGCAATACTCAAAAAAGAAGCAAAACGCACGTACGGTTTTCCTGCCGTAGGCATATACTTGAGGATTACTTGAGGATTATAGTTTTATGTTGGTGATTTTTGGAATCCCTAAATTGGTGAACAGCTCAATAGAATCACTGTTGGGTTCATAGCGATGAAATAACCATGTCGGCAGGTGAGTGATAGACCAGCAAACAGAACATTTGAGGACACCAGCCAAGCTGAGAGTTCTATTGACGGATCATTCCACAGCCACTTAGTCAGCCACTTAGTAATTGGTTACCAAAGAAACAAGTCATATATTACTGTATATAGCCATGTCTCTACTTGAATGTGCACGGCAAGTTTGTAGCTTACACCCCAGCTATAGCTGGACCAACCTTACTTATCCGATTGAATTCACTGGGCTGAATCACTCTACCTACGATTCATGGGGTGAACCACCAAGTATAGTGGGATGGGTGGAGTTTTGTGAGGTCAGAGGTCCTATTTTCGATGGATTGAAGGGAAACTTGATTAATCCCTTCCCAATTTTTGACCACTTCCCGCAGTCAGCATGGTGCATATAGGGGATGAAGTCACATTTCACTAAAACATACTAAGACCATGGGGTGCTTAAAAACTGAACGGGGAAAGGAATTAAAATTATATAGTACCTGGCGTTCATGATGCCATTTTAAGTTGGTTACTAAGTCCAGTTATAACTGGAGATGTTGCATATATGGGTTTGTCTCAAAATAGAGAATCCCAAAGGCATTGGTTTTTCATGGTTTATCATTATTATCCCTATTGAGTTGGTATTTGAAATATACAGTTTTCAGACACACCCATACTTGGTGGTTCATCCCACTTAGTAAGTGGGTTAGTTCACCTCAGTTTTTTGATTGGATGAACCCTACTTATCCCATAGAAACAACCAGGGTGAACTAACCTACTTAGGATTCGTGGGTAGTTCGCCACCAAGTATACCCTCTGGTAATTTAACATAGCTATTGAAAATTGTCATTTATAGTGAGTTTTCCATGAAAAATGGTGGATATTTCCATAGTTTTTTGCATGTTTGCCAGAGGGCAATACATAGACGTACAGTCAGATTCATAGTCAGACGCAGCTCAGAGCTCCAGGTAACACGATGCAGACAGGCCCTTCGGGCCCTTCGCTCTACGGTCCTGCGGCATCCTCTCACAGTCAGATGCTTGGCTCTTCAGCCCTGGCTTTGTGGCGGAGAGGACAATCTCTAACAATTTTTGGAAATCTATGGGAAATTCTGTGAAAAAAACGAATTGGATATTGTGAATATGTATTCCCACATAAATATTCTAATAGTATTAACATATATTCTATTAAATAACTATTACTAATGGGAATATATTAATTGGATAACATGTGGTAAACCTCTTTTAATAAACCATCCCGAAAGTCCCCACAAATGGCTGGGATTGAAACCATCCCAATTAGTAGCTTTCTGGCATTCCCACCTTAAGTTAAATCGTAAGTTGCTTCTAAAACACCAAGTGTGACATGTAAACCAACCCAAGATGCAGCGGAATATCCAGAGGAAGCGATGTCCGATGTCTTGCCCAGTAAATTAATGGAGGTTTCAGCGGCTTCAACCATAAAATCTTCAACTTGAAAAACTAACAGATCCAATGCATCAGCAGATCACAGGTGGCTTGGATGCGCCAGGTGTTCCAAATAGGTGAATCAAAACCAAAGTCATTCTTCAATGAATGGCATTGGGTGATGTGTGTTTTTTTGGACAGGGGCCTTTCCGAATTGAAATCCTGAGACTTTGGGGCAGTTCGGGGCCTCGTTTCAGAAAAAATGACTGCAATGTATTTGGACAACACTAGTTACAGGAATTCTACGTAATTCTACATTCCAAGAATAGGAATTGGTCTTTGTATTAGAATGTTTGTACATAACCACAGAATTATTTTGATTATAGAACTATCAGCATCATAACCCCAAGAATAGGCATTAATCAGGAACCATCCATCCCCAATTTTGCCGGTCGATGGTTACCACATGTTACCACGCTACCAAAGCCCCATTCTAACAGCAAATCACAATAGTTGGGGCTATTTCTTAATGTGGCCACACTCCCCCCATGGAAAACCAGAAAACATCCTCGCATTTCTGTGATCATCGAAAATCATCGGCTCTTTTTTTTTCCCCAGATGTACCCTCTGGTAAACTAACATAACTATGGAAAATCACCATTTATAGTGATTTTTCCCATGAAAAATGGTGGATCTTTCAATAGTTATGTAAACGTTTACCAGAGGGTAATTCAACCATCCACCATCAACCTTCAACCATGATATATGGGTAAATCCACTATAAATGGCCATTTTCAATAGCTATGTTACATTACCACAGAGGGTACCTGGGATCAAAAATTCACATGACGAATTTCGTCCTCAGGATGGACATCGTCTTGAGCTCGATCAGCTTCAGCAGCCTCACGCGGAACAAGAAACCTTTGGATCCCGCGGACATCGGACCTGGCGGCATCTACCACGAGAAACAGGTCAGCGTCGCGGCAGTTGAGACTGAGATTTTTGTAACAGGGGGACTTCACCAAAAACATCACGAATTATTCAATTTGAGTTTACCACATTTACAGTGCTTGAAGCATGGAGCATACTCTGGATGTTTGAACAATTTATTGTATTTTGCTGGAGTTTCACAGTTTCACCAAAAAAAAAGATGAGGCAACCTTGGAGGGCTAGTTTTTAGCACTTCTCTGCTGTAGCTGGGCGAAAAAAAATATCGCCATTGGAATCATTGGAACTGAAAGGTCGACCAGAGAGTTTTCATGGGAATTACATACATGTAATTGGACATGATAAATACCCTCTGGTAATTTAACATAACTATGGAAAATCACCATTTATAGTGGATTTTCCCATGAAAAATGGTGATTTTCCATAGTTATGTTAAATTACCAGAGGGTAATCATAAATCATCCCGAATGACTGTTTATTGAGACTCGTTTATGAAGGTTTATAATCTGGGATAGCCTATGATAATAATAAAGACAACATCCCCAATGACTGACCGTATCACTGGGTGGTGAACTGTGATATCCCCAAATGCTAGGTGACAAAAAAACGAGGTTTGCCACATGCGTGAATATCTAGCATTAGTGAATCCAAATGCTACATCATTAGTAGAACAGACTATCTGGATCTGGTTGGTGGTTTGGAACATGAATTTTATTTTTCCATTCAGTTGGGAACAATAATCCCAACTGACGAACTCCATCATTTTTCAGAGGGGTAGGGGTAGGTTGAAACCACCAACCAGGGATGAATTTGATCATGACCTCACAAAATGTGACGTCCCTGGATGGCGAATGTAGAGGGGAATCATCTCAGAGATGGCTAACAGCTACAGCCAGAATGGTTTGTGAACTATTTGAATTCAGCCAGAATGGAAGCCCATCACTATTAAGATATAGAGTATCTATAAAAATATCATTATGAATTATTATATTCATATTATATAACCCACTTTGCCGAGTTATATCCCATGATTTTTTCCATTACATCCCATGAAAATCATTATCTTGATGAGTTATATCCCACCACATCCCATAAATATACCCGTTATTGATCCCATAAATAACCATATCCCACGGTGAAACCTTGGTGAAATCCGCCGAAATGGCCTTTGCTGCCCTCGGCCATGGCCAGTTCCGTCAGGCTGGACTGCTGTGTGCCATGCATACCATCAACAACGTGATCCAAGAGAACCGGATCAGCGAGGCGACGAGCCATGCGAAGCATAGCGAAGCCCCGCCTATGGGCGTTTATTATCTCCGCTCTGACATTGTTAATAAGATGTTATAAGTATATAAGGATGGCATTTTTTAAAAGGTTTTTTTGGGGTTATAACACCTCAGGGTGTTTGGATGGAAGGACCATTGGTTAAAAATTAAAAACCATGGCTATGACGTAAGCATTTTGTTGAGTATCTAAGTTGTTAGAGGTGAGAAGGACCAGCTTTCCGGTTTCGGTGCAGCGAACAAAAGGTGAAATCGAGATTGCCAGTGATTTTTTGTGGAGAAAGCAACAGTTTTTGGGTAAAGACCACCCAATTTTTGGGGGTTCAAACAGGCTTTCCTGACAATTTTCCCCACCATTCCCCACCAATCCAATGATTTTAGTACAGACCACGAAATACATTTTCGGGACATGGATAGAAATGGTATCAAATGGTATCTTAAATGGTGACTTTGGACTTGAAAGGGTCAAGTCTTTGACTATTTTGAAAGGAGTGCAAATCGTCCAGTCCAGGTAGGAAAGCTCACTACAAGATGATGCCCCTCAGCTACCCTGCAGTAGATTAACACAACTGTGGAACATTTTTTAATAGGTAAATCATCTGTAAATGGCAATTGTCAATAGCTGTGTTAAATCACTGGAGGGTATGTTTGTTGGTTTGTAACCCCCACTAATTATATGTATATCTACCATAGCGAAATGATAGTGAACTAAAACCAACTTAGCGATTCCTTTCTATTGGGCATCACCTTGAAACCTATGCAGATTGGACAACATCCATTGTCCCATTCGAATTCTTTGCTTTCCTCATATCCCCATTTGTTCTAGCTACTTGGGAGCGCAGTTCCATTTATAAGTGGACATATTTCACCATCGTATATCAAAAATCCCAGTTACAACATACATTTCTCTAATCGAAGGAAGTTTAGAAGTCAAACTTCCGACAATATGGACAAATGAAAAGCAGAGGTGGGAAGAGTCAGAGAAGAGAAGAGAAGAAGAAAGAAGATCAAAAAAGAGAAAGTCTCAGACTCTCAGAAGAAAGAAGATCCAGGTGCACGAAAAGGTAGGAAAGTGGCGAAACACTGTGTTTTTCCAATGATTTGTGGCTCCGGAGGGTCGAAAAGTAGGCTCGCTAAAGCGGCGGGTGCGGAGCCCACTGGGCAGATGAGAGATGAAAAGTTGCACGCCGTTGAGGCGCGAAACACATGTCGAAGTCAAAATGTGCAAAGCACACCAGGTTCGGAGCACTTTTGGAAGTCGACATGTCGAAAAAGTGCACGCCGTTGTGGCGCAAAGCACATTTGTAAGTCAAAATGTACAAAACACACCAGCGTCGGACCACTTTTGGAAGTTGAGATGTCGAAAAAGTGCACGCCATCGTGGCGCAAAGCACATTTCGAAGTCAACATGCACAAAACACACCATTTTCGGACCACTTTTGGAAGTTGCGATGTCGAAAAAATGCACGCCGTTGTGGTAGATTAGATAGATTAGATAGATTAGATAGATCAGATAGATTAGATAGATTAGATAGACTAGACTAGACTAGTTAGTTAGATAGATAGATAGATAGATCGATTAGATTAGATTCGATTCGATTCGATTCGATTAGATTCGATTAGATAGATAGATAGATAGATAGATAGGTCGATCGATCGATAGATAGATAGAAACAGATAGATAGATAGATAGATAGATAGGTAAGTAGATGAAAGAGAGAGAGAGAGATAGATCGATGGATAGGTAGGTAGGTAGGTAGATAGTCAGAGAAAGAGAGAGAAAGAGAGGAGACCTCAAGCACCTTTCGGTCCATCAGTGGCTTGGCTCTGCCATCCGTGATTCACAACAACCAACCGCTCATATAGGTTTCCTATTTTTGAAACTTCCGCCACCGCCTTGTGGGGTACTACTGGTATTCCCACTTCGATTAAGGGGTTATAAACCACTAAACCAGTTGCCATTGCTAAAGATTTCGGCCAACCATTTTCCGCCAACCTTTGCCAGGAGATTCTCCGTAAAACTGCCAAACAGTTGGACAAGGCCGCGCACCGCTTGACGGGTGGTCGCAGCACGGACTACCGCAACTATCGCGAGGTGCGCTTTCCAGGGCGGGCAGGCCATCGACAAAAATGCGGTGCGTGGGCCACTGAAACGAAGTTTAACCAGCTAACATGGATTTAGTCAAGGAAAATCTATGAAAATATGGTGTTTGGTGGGAATAAAATCCGCAATTTGATGGGGATTTCCTTTGATTTAGCCAAGTGAAATGTCGGTTTTGACCTCAAACATGGGGGTTCAACGTGGTTTAACCATCCCACGTGGGATTACAAGACAGCTGGTCAATCCATGTGAACCTGCAATGATTTCGATTGTGCCCCAGGATGGTTTCTACAACGCCTTGGTGGTGCAAGCCGTCTTCAGTGGTTTGGGTTTCCACGTGCTTTGGCACAGATCCAAGTCTTGACGTGACACGCTTTTCCAAAAATATGGATTTGATGTAGATGTTATGGGGATTTTATGGGGATATAAGGGATATGTATTACCCTCTGGTTATTTGACATAGCCATGGAAAATGGCCCATTTATAGATGGCTTACCGATTAAACATGGTGATTTTCTATAACTATGTTAAATAACCTGAGGGTAGATATTTTTTGATGACTATTTAGATTTAGATGTAATGTACTTGCAGGATTCGGACTTGGAGACTGGAGAGTCCTAAGAATCGTAAATGGTTCTGGGTTGCAATGTGTTACGAAGCAGTTACTGAGTGGGATGATGAAAGTAATCCAAAAGTAGTGCACAAGTCTGAGATAAAGGTGTAAACATCTCTAAATCTAAAATACGATTACAGTAGATATATAAATGAGTGTAAAAAATGAACCAACATATTATTATTATTGATATATATATATTATTATTACTATTATTGTTATTCATGATCATAAGGATTATTATGACAATATTATTTTCACTATTTTTATCATTATATCATATCGTTATTATTTTGCTGTTATTATTGTATATTCTCCAAAGAACTATGAGATGAAGGGCGGATGCATGTACTCCCCGGCCTTTTTTGTGCAGAAACACTCCCAAAAAGAAGCACCAATCAGCCTGGAATTGGTTGCAGGGAACATGCTCTGAATCTTGGCATGTTTGAACATATTTGATATCTTAGGCATGATAATTCATGGTAATATCCCTCTAATATCCTATTAATTCCTATTAATATCCTATTAATATCCTACTAATATCATACTAATATCTTAAGTTGATTATGTATATATATAGATATATATTTCTATTTCCAACTTTTTTTTTACATAAAAATATTTTTGTCAATACTTTTTTGCCAAAAAATCTGGAGATTTCGTTATCTCATCCAAGGTGCAGTCGGCGCGTGCCAGTATGCTGCACCTCGAAGACGAGATGGCGGTCTTGGCCAACAAAGCGCGGCACTGGTTCGGCTGTCGAAGGCGAAGCGGATGTTGGGATCTGTTTTTTGGGTACTTTGGAGTGGAAAAATAGGTAGAAATATTGGTATATTTATGGTTATATATGGCTATATATATATATGGATATTTAGATACATGGTTATTCATATATTCATATATATATATGATTATAAAAAAATATATATGCATAAGTTACTGAAAATGGGTTATATATATAATATATATAGGGTTATGCAAACATAGTTTCAGGGGTTATATCCCATCTAAGTTGGAATATAGCCCCTGCAACTATGGTGAAATAAAAAACATTATTTGAGTGGAATTGCACCCCCAAGAAGGGATTTGATACTCCCAACTGCCCAAGTCGTGGCGAAATCCCAAAAATCTTGAAATTAGCTTGGGGGAAGGCTTTTGTGGAAGTTGCTGGTTCGACGGCTGCTGCTGTTGCTGTTTCCGGGTACTTCTACACAACGCTGGGATTATCATCTCTACACTGCCATGGCGGTGTGCTGGGATTCTGCAAATTGTCATTGTTTCGCTACCAGTGATCCAAGGAAGGGCAGGTTTGCGGCTTGCGGGCCAAAGTCCATGTGTGTAGATGCGGGGCTTTTTCCGTACCTCGTTTTGGACCTCGTTTTGGACCTCGTTTTTTTCCTTTATCAGAACCCATCCTGCAGTATACAAACTAGGAAAAGGGCCTGCTTCGCGTTTTTGTTTGTGGGCGTCAACAGTGCCCACGAAAAAAGGCCCGTTGGAAACCGGCGTTCCGATGGGATTCGATCAAAAACGAATAGAACCATGATAGTTTGGTCAAGGCTTGTTAAAGCTAGCGTTTCCAATGGGGAAAGGGGTTTTGCAAGGTCTGTGCCGGGACAGGGGTCGTGGCGAGCGTTTTGATTGGGAATAGCTGTCAAACGCAAACATTGCAAGGACTTTGGCGTATGGGTGTAGTAGTGATAGGGATTTGAGAACATGACCAGCAAAATAGGAATATTATGCAATAGGGATGTAACCAACAACATGGGGATACTATGTGGATATGGAATAATCTGAAAGATAAAAACTGAGATTATATTTACTAAGATTAAAGGCTAGCATGTTATTGGCATATTGACAATGTGTTGGTGTTATAATGAGGATTTTTTTACTCCGGATCGAAGAGCGTAGGGTATAGTGCATTATGGATGACGAACTAAACAGAAACCTTGTTGATTAGTTACTGATTAGTTGGTTGTATAATAGAATGAGATCGACATAGGACAAGCGACTCGGAGGGCTATTTTCTTAGATAGATATATATATATATACTATTTATCTAAGTATCTTTAAGATAGTATAACATTATATAACTCGGTCGGCTATTACAATATCTTATATGAGGGCTAATCTTTTGCCATTTCAATGGCGGTATAAACCTGCTCGGCCAACAGTCTATGTTTGTTTGCAGGCTATCTAAGAGCCATGGTAATTAGGTGATAATCCCCAAAATTGTCATACCCTCTGGTAAACTAACATAACTAATTATGGAAAATCACAATTTTTAATGGGAAAACTCACTATAAATGGCCATTTTCAATAGCTTTTTGTATGTTTACCAGAGGGTACTACCCTTGACAAGGTGAAGTTTGGGCGGTGATTTTGCTGATGTTTTTCTTGGCCCAGTGGCTCTGTGGATGTTTTTCTGGGCTCCAGATGGGGAACCTCCGGTGGTTTTCCTGGTCGAGATACGTCAAGTTGGATCGTGAACATAAGCCAAAAGACATACAAGGTGGGACCCCCAGTTGAAAACGGTGTCTATTTCTTTGCTCGGTTTACCAGGTACCATGGTTTATGGTACAGTAGATATATCGAACTAGCTAGATGGCTTTCTTATAACAAAATTGGGAATCATTCACCCAAGGAATCTCAGTTTCCTGAAGGGGTGAACTATCCCACAAACCGCCACTGAGCCACAAAACTCTCGACCAGGCCTCGCAACTTCGATGCTCTCGAAAAGAGGGGGTTAGAAGTTCTAGTGATAAAACGGATAGGCTTTTGAAACTTTGAAGGTCCCCAAAATAATTAAAGCTAGAAAAGGTGATTCACGATGATTCACGTTTTTTTTTGGATGGTGATTTTTCAATCTTAGTGAGCATGGCTGCTATTTGATTGCTTTTACCAACAAGCCACCGGTTCCAAAAGTCAGTCTCTTCCATCTTCAATTGGCATTGCTGTTTTTTCCTCTGTTTTGCAAATCCCAATTCAATCCCAATTACCCTCTGGTAAACTAACAGTTTGCTCTGGAAAACCACCATGTTTAATGGCTAAATCATCGAACTAAATGGTCCATGGCTTCCATAGCTATGTTTAGCACTAGAATCATATAGTTGATTTTTTCGATTGGATTTTGTTCATTGGCTTTAAAGGAACATTTTCTCGGGGTGTTTCACCGCTGGCAACACATCCCAATCAGATCCCATCGACGCAGGTTAGGCGATGGTTGGTTTGATCTCAACAGTCTCCGGCCTGCATTTTGGGTGTGGTGAGCCTCCACAAGGTGATGCCCCCGGTCGATAGCTAAGTTGGTTTATAGCTCCAAAAGCTATGGTTTATAAGTGATATATCTATAATTGTACAAGGTGGTGCCCCAAAACGTTAGCTAAGTTAGTGCCAATAACTTGAATAACTATGGTTTATAGGTGATATATCTGTAGTTAATGGGGTTTATATACCAATTTATAACTGGGCACCACCTTGCAAGACCCGGGAAAATCATGGCGGTTCCCAAAAAGATGGGAACCAACTAGTTAATCATCATCTTCCATTGGGTTTTCTAGAACGACAAACATCAACTTAACCATCAAGGTAGTGTTGAAGAGTTGACGCTTATCATTGAAGTTCTCATTTCCCCTGTGAAGACTATGGCCATTTTGATCAATGTCTTCTATGGAACCTAACACATCTTCCTATGTCTGTGGCTAATTATATCATCATTTTCCCATACCCCACTTCTCATTGTGAGGCTAAAAGCACTAGTTCGGCTGGCATGAACTCCCCCATCCACCTTTATCAACAGTGAACATTTTCTCAGCTAGAAACAAGCTCCGTTTATATGGTTCGATGATTTTCCAGCTAGCCATGTTTGATTACCAAAGGGTAAATACCAAAGTTCGCTAAATCAAACCCATTATATTCCCATGATATTCAAACTATATCACAATATTTCCTATACCCAGTACATTCCTTCATCAACCTTTATCAATTTGCAGGTTGTCTGAGCAAACCAGAGTACTACGAGGAACACGAATTCCAGGTACGGGATGGGGATGAGGCAGAGGCGAAAAGTGGTGTCTGACCTGGTCTTATGATCTTTGTAAACATAGCTATTGAAAATGGTCATTAAAAATTGTGATTTTCCATAGTTATGTTAGTTTGCCAGAGGGTATGATCTTTTTTGATTTTTTCCCCCATAAAGTAGATGGGGATGGGTCGAAATTTAAGCCCCAAAAGGGACCACAGATTTTAGTATACGTTTAGTATCAACCATCTAATTGTTGAGGTACCCAATTTCGACCCATGCCTAGATATATAGATAGATGGATGGATGGATGGATGGATAGACAGATATTCACCATAAACCATAATTCAGCTACTTATGTTCACCAAGATAGCTATCGTTTGTGGGCCCCAGCAATTCACCAATGAATTGCCCATGACTTCCTCTCATTTCTTGATCACTGCAGGCTCCGTTCGACTCCCTCCCAACAAAAATCTCCCATTTATATACCTGATTGGTGGTTTGGAACATTTTTTATTTTCCATAATATATGGGATGTCATCCTTCCCATTGACGAACTCATATTTTTCAAGATGGTTAAAACTACCAACCGGATACACTAGTTATTGGTTCCATGACTCACCCATATTTTTTCAGATCAATTTTTCAGATATCAAAAAGCGGCCACCTCCCCACTTTGGGCACCGGAGTTTCCCACCTTTTTCGGTGCCTCGGGCTCCGAAACCGCCAGGAATTCCTGGTTTCGGCGGAAGACCAGGGCTATCGCCTCTTTGTCGTGCGAGGTGATTGGCCCCCAACGGCCTTGGAGGAGGAGACGGCGTGGAGAGGTGATTTTCTTGGGAAACGCGCTGGGAAAACCACCGAGTTTTTCGATCATTTGTTGGAAAGCCACAAGGGAATCGAAGTCGAACCATGAAGGTCTTGAGCTGGAATCTGAGCTGTCATAATATATATATATATATTTGATTGTATATATGTATAGATGGAAATCATAAGCAACTTCCGAATTTCGAAAGTCAAATCTGTATCAACTGACTCCACTGATCCCAGAGAGACCGTTTCGGTGTGAAAAAATCCACAGGTTCCTGGGTTTTAGTCATGTTTCTACCAAATTATCCATTGATCCATGTTTTGTTTTTGTGTGGCACCTAGACTGGAAGTAGCGTACCAGATATTTTGAGGCTATATCATGCCACATTTCTTTAGAAACTTTAGCCCTTACATAAAGTAAGCATATGCATTACGCAGACATATATAGAGACGGCAAGCACCTGCCAATTTAGGTAATGTTCCTAAAGCAGTGTCATAAACCACCCATATAAATTGATGGTTTGAATCCCACCATACAAATGGTGATTTTGGGGATGGTGGATCCATTGCTTTACTAACATTATTGTTGATTTATACTCCATTGTATTCCCATTATAGGTTGGTTATTTTCCCATGTTTGTGGGTTAGTTACATACCCATTATAATCCCAAAGCATGGATTTTTTTACTAACATTAACCGAAGGAAGTTTCCGACAATATGGACAGATGAAAAGCAGAGATGGGAAGAGTCAGAAAAGAGAAGAGAAAAAGAAAAAAAATCAAAAAAGAGAAAGTTCACGCCGTTGTGGCGCAAAGCACATTCCGAAGTCAAAATGTACAAAACATGTCAGCTCGGGGCACTTTTGGATGTTGAGATGTGGAAAAAGTGCACGCTGTTGCGGCGCGAAACACCTTTCAAAGTCAAAATGTTAAAAGCACCGCATGATCAGACAACTTTTGGACATTCAGGTGTCGTTTCGCGTGGCAGGCGCAAGGGATTGCGCACCGTGTCAAAAGTGAGCAAAACGTGAGGATTTTGTAGCATTTCCAAAACGATGGCAGGCGTGAGACATTTGAAGGGGATCTGGGAAGATGCATTTTCCGTGGCAGGCGCAGTACAAGAGACATGTTCATCAGAGATGTTAGGAGGTCCGGGCGCTGATTTCCTGAGAGGGGTTGCATTTTGGAGCATCAGGTCTTCAGTTTTGGGAAGATGATTTTGCGTGACAGGTGCAGCACTTCGTATGACCTGGCCTCACTTTTTCGTGGCAGGCACAATACTTTAGACAGGTGGAGTGGAAAAATTGCAAAACGCATTGGCACAACGCCGTCAGCTCTGCACTCAACTTTCCATTTTTGACGGGAGTCTCGCAGAATTTGCTTCGTTTTTGATGTTGTCAACTTTGAAAACTGAGGAAGTCTCGCAGAATAGCTTCGTTTTCAAGCTTGCAGATAGACAGATAAGTAGTTAGACAACTACAACTGCAACTACAACTGCAAGTACCACTGCACTACACTACTACTACAGCTACAAGTACAAATATATTACGCTACATTACACAACACCTATTACATTACACTACACTAATTACATCTATTTAAAGGCTTACGCCTGACAGCCGGGCGCCGGCCAAGCAACGACTTTGGGCTTATGGTGTGGGAAGATTGGGCCGAGATTCTCCGCGCAAACCCAGGGAGGGCTATGTTGAACTGAGGCAGGCATAATGCGCAGTGCTTGCCTGCCCATGTTGGGCCAAGTCGGGCCCATGTTGAGCCATCTTGGGCCCATCTTGGGCTTATGTTGGGCCAAGTCGCATCTTGGGCCTATATTGACCCAGGTTGGGCCTATGTTGGCCCAGGTTGGGCCTATGTTGGGCTATGTTGGGCCCATGTTGGGCCTATGTTGGGCCCATGTTGGCCTATGTTGGGCCTTTGTTGGCCCATGTTGAGCCATCTTGGGAGCTGTGTTGGGGCCATGTTTGGGCCATCTATGTTGAAACGATCTTAAGATGCCAGAACATCGCCAAGATGAAATCCCTTTCCGCCGAAGGGCCCGAAACACCGTAAAAAAACAATTGTTTTTAACACCGCAAGCAAAATACAGCGTAAATTACAGGGACTTCAGTTGACACGGAGTCGGTCGGGGGTGAACACGGGGTGGGTCGGCGGCAGGGGGCGCAGCGCCTATAACCTTGGGTTACCAACCGAATGCCTCCGGCAAGGACACGGGCTCCGTGGCCGGGCGTGGGGCTACACTACACTGGACTACACTACAAGTACTACAAGTACTACAAGTACTACAAGTACTACAAGTACTACAAGTACTACAAGTACTACAAGTACTACAAGTACTACAAGTACTACAAGTACTACAAGTACTACAAGTACTACAACAACTACAACAACAACTACAACAACAACAACTACTACTACTACTGCTACTGCTACTACAGCTACTACTACTACTACTAACTCCTGCTACTACTCCGGCTACTACTCCGGCTACTACTCCTGCTACTGCTACTGTTACTGCTACTGCTACTGCTACAGCTACAGCTACAGCTACAGCTACTGCTACTGCTACTGTTACTGCTACTGCTACTGCTACAGCTACAGCTACAGCTACAGCTACAGCTACTGCTACTGCTACTGCTACTGCTACTGCTACTGCTACTGCTACTGCTACTGCTACTGCCACTGCCACTGCCACTGCCACTGCCACTGCCACTGCCACTGCCACTGCCACTGCCACTGCCACTGCCACTGCCACCACCACCACCACCACCACCACCACCACAGCCATACAATTACAGCATCACTACATTACACTACAATACACTACTTAAATTGCAGTACATTACAGCTACAAAGACAACTACAACTACACTACATTACACAAAACTACACTCCACTAATTACATTACACTACAACTGCAACTACCACTACATTGCACTACACGACGCTACACAACAACTACAACTACACTACTTTACACTACTTTACACTAGACCACACTACACTATACCACGCTACGGTACACAACATTACAGTACACTACAATCCACTACACTAATTACACCACACCACAACTACAACTGCAACTGCAACTACACTACACTACACTACACTAATTACACTACATTGCAACTACAACTTACAACTGCAACTCCACTACACTACAGCTACAACTACACCTACAACTACAACTACAACTACAACTGCAACTGCGCTACACCACACTACAACCAGCAGTTGTGGTGAGGTGACCACTGCAACCATTGCAACCACTCCAGAAAACACAACTCCAACCTCCTTTCGGTCCATCAGTGGATTCGCTCTGCCATCCGTGAGTCACAACAACCAACCCTTCCTATAGGTTTCCTAGTGTTGAACCTTCAGCCACCGCATTGTGCGGTACTACTTGTAATTATATCAAAAACACGTCAATCCCATCAAAATCACATCAATTAATCATAGTAAGAACAGCATTAAAACATGTTTATTTCAATCCCATAAAATCCCATCAACTAATCATATATTAGTAATATCAATCCCCTTGCTAATCAGACTCCAGGACCCCTCTGCCCTTACGGACGCCAAGCGCGGCTGCATGCGACCCATGGGAGACTTGCCGGGTCCTGGTGGATCGCAGTCCGGCAGTCCGGGCAAATGGTGATAGAACCAGTGATTTCATGGGGATTTATGGTGGTTTATATAAGAAAATAGGAATACCCTCTGGTAAACAAACAGTTCGCTGTTGAAAAGGGCCATTGAGTTCGTTGATTTACCCATCAAAAATGGTGATTTTCCATAGTTATGTCAGTTTACCAGAGGGTATCTAAGGTGATAATAGCAATGATTCTGTGGTAGACTCAATAGACAACAAATGGTAGGTTTACAGCTAAGTTATAAGTGGTTACAACCACTGACTCACCACTGAATTATATCATCTAAGTACTATCAATGGAATGTATGGGATTGTCTTCTTGGGGGCTAATTGTAAGTTACTCACTAATATTTAACTGATCACTTAGACAATTGTGGTGCACAATGACGCTTTGCGCACTGTGGTATCGTTTCAGAATTAGTTGAAGAGTGCAGGAAAACTGCTCAGTTTGATGGGAACAAACTATGGTTTCCAGTTGAATGTCCTCTTAAACCAATCGATATTGATACAAGGTGGTGCCCCCCAGTTATAAGTTGGTTTATAATCCCATTAACTAGTTTGATATATCTACCATAAACCATAGTGAAGTTGTTGTGGGGTTTGATTTTCCAAAAAATGTTGTGGGGCTCCGATTTCCCATGGTTTTCCCGGAAGGTTTTCCCAGGGACGAAAAAACATCGCCATACTTTCCGGTGAATCGTTGAGCCATGATCCATCATGACCCTGTGAGGTGGTCATCAATCAAAATCCCCAGTGTTTTTAATGGGAACGTTTATAAAGCCCATGAAATAGTATATAAATATATCTATATATATATAGTAATAACCATAATAGGGATAATAATAGTAGTAATAAACAGATAGATAGATAGTAGAAATATAAACATATATATATCAATAAACCATAATTGACTTATAATATCTATACTATATATCAAGCATAGATAAGAATATATATATATATATTCCCCCTTCTTCAATCAACCAACATAGTGAAATTGGAGTGATTGGCACCAACGTATCGTTCGGGAGCACTACCTTGCAGTGAGTGCCATCTCTAATGGTTTCTACAAGGTGGTGCTTTCCCAGTGATGTGAACATTGGTTTATAAATCCCATTAACATTCGTTGACCATTAAGTATAGCTAGAAGTGTTATAATTATAGTTATATATGGGTTATTGGAGTTAAATATTCATTAACTATAGTTCGTGTTATCTACCATAAACCATCAAAATCTGTTCGCCGTTTCTGAACAGGCTTCGCTCGACTGGGGGCCCCCATCCTGGGTCATCGCCCGAGGATATGGACGCAGTACGATCCTCTGCGCGCCGGGTCTGGACCAGATGGTCGATGAGAACATGAAACGCCGCGCGGCGGGTTCGGGTTGATGGGCCAGATCAAGCCCATATGAGGGATTTTTTTTAATAGTCAATAGGGGTTTTTGACGGTATAACTAACCACAATGGGGTTACTTAAACTGTAAGTGACATATAACTTTTCAGGGCCAGAATTATATGAGCCGCGTTTTAAACCTCCGTGTTTATGTTTAGTATTGGGATCCTTGTAAGGGCCTGTGGCGTAAGCAAAACACTGGTGCGCGTAAGCTTGCGTAAGCATTTTTTACCAATATTGCTGGCGTAAGGATGGCGTAAGCTCATTTTCAACGGTTTTAATTTGAGGTTTTAAGTAGTGGTATGTATGATGCATCCTAACCTGACATGACCGGACGGGTTTTTGATTTTCCTGGGGCCACGGTAGCCCTCCTGTCTTTCAGTTCAACACACCTGCATGGTTTTGGTATCAATTTCAGGTTGCCTGGCGTTATAGAGTATGGATGGTTTTCCCATGGTTTCCCCATTTCTATCGATATGGACCATTTATAAACTGAAAAGATTCGCTGTTCAAGGTTTGCAGGGACCCACATGTACTTAAGAATTCAGCATATCAGAAAGGGGCAGATGCAGAGAGTGACAGGCAACCTATGCATTGGAATGCCTTTTCTTGAAAGAACATTGGTTATCTTCAGTGGGTGTTTTGCGTAGTTGTTTCCTGACATCCGCGTAAGGACCGCGTAAGCGTTGCGTAAGCTGCGCGTAAGCCAAAGGTGCTTTTGCCAGTAGTTGCCCATGCCGCCCAAAGAGAAACTCTCCAGTTATGCCCGTGCTCTCAGCAAGGGTGCTGTCAAAAAACGTCGTCAGCTTCGTGCTCGGCGAGCTTCTGCTGGTGGTACTTCTTCATCATCTTCTTCCTCTTCTTCCACGTCTTCATCGTCCACTGCTTGATTTTGCCAATCACTGCTTCGATTCTTGCATGTAAAAGTTGCTGCGCGTAAGTCGAAACTGTGGTGACGTGCTAAAAATTGTCCGCGTAAGGTCTGCGTAAGGTACTATAACGTGCGTAAGTAAAACTTGTGCGCGCGTAAGCAATGCGTAACCAGCAGCGTAAGCTTTTCCTTGTTTGGTGCCGCCATGCAAGACATCTAAAACACAGCTCATATGGGAGCAAACTGCGGAGGTTTTAACATGTTCGCCCCAACCCGGACGTTGCTCCACACTTACAATCGTCATGATCACCATCATCCTTATCATCATCATGATGATCATCGTTGTCATCACCATCATCATAATCATCATCTTTATCTTCATAAGAGATCAAAATTCGCCAGCCCTTATGAACAATATGTTGATTGGGGTAATAACACCAACTATATCTCCATGAGGGCTGAAAATTTGCCACCCCCTATGAGCAATATGTTGATTGGGGTAATAACATCAACTTTATCTTCATGAGGGATCCAAACTCGCCACCCCCTATGAGCAATATGTTGGTTGGGGTAAAAACATCAACTTTATCTTCATGATGGATCAAAATTCGCCAACTTCTATGAACAATATGCTGGTTGGCGCAATAACATCAACTTTATCTTCATGAGGAATCAAATTCGCCACCCCCTATGAACAATATGTTGCCTGGGGTAATAACATCAACTTTATCTGATTTATCTTCATGAGGGATCAAAATTCGCCACCCCCTATGAACAATATGATGACTGGGGTAATAGCATCAACTCTCTCTTCATAAGGGATCAAAATTCGTCATCCCTATGAACAATATGTTGGTTGGCGTAAAAACATCACATCATCTTTATCTTCATAAGAGATCAAAATTCGCCAGCCCTTATGAACAATATGTTGATTGGGGGTAATAACATCAACCTTATCTTCATAGCCACCTGAAGTCAGACGCGGAGCAACGTCAGGGTTGCAACGAATATGTTTAAGCCACCATATAGGAAGTTGTAAGCCAATGAATAAACCAGTTCAGTAACTCCATGGCCCATCCAGGTTCCTCATGAAATGAAGGTGGCTATGGCCAAGTGCTTTGGTTGGTTGGTTGGTTCCTGCAATGCCGGACCCCAAGTAACGCTATTAAGCTATAGATGTATACTGTTGACATCTGTTGACCATATTGTACCACAAACCATAGATAGTCCAGTGGCATCAACGAACTTAATTATCTAATATTACCTATATTTGAGTGCCCGTGTAGTAGTTTCCCACGTTTCCTCAGTGGTTCAAACCGATTCAAAGCCAACCGCTTTCCCTGTTACGAAAATTGCGCAGGTGTAGTCAAACATGGCTAGATGGTAAATCCCCAAACTGGAGGTTTATAGCTGGGAAAAGCATCGAACTAAACTCAATGGGGTCTGTTCAAGCCATATTTGATGACATTTTAAACCCACCGGGCACGAAGTGGGGCACCACCAGCTCGGGGCCTGCGATACCAGGGATCATCAAGTACAGGATGTTGCCCTCCAGTTATGTTTTGTGGTTTACAACCCCATCGAAATATCATGATCTGCGTATCATACACGATTGTTACGACATAGTTATGTGCACCAACGGAACGCGATTCCGAACTGGGGCCCCATCCTGCACGCGTCTGCAGAAGTTGGACAACCAGCCGCGTTTCCCAGGCAGCAGGGATCCTCAAATTCCCTTCTGGCTTGGCTTCTCTGCCCACTGGTTCTCTCCCACGCGCTTCCAGCATCACCCTGCGGGGTCAGCAGAAGACTGGCAGGATCGGAACGGCGTGAGATCCTCCGATGTCAGGTGTTTAGAGCTGGGAAATTCAAGGGATTTTTAGAGCAGATCTAGAGGTTTGTGGATTTTCGGGGATTGACATGGATTTCGTGTCCATACTTGTCTCACTAAAAGCTATCAGATTTTCGCAAGGGGATCAACACACCAGCTATCAATGTAAAATATGGAGCGCTATTGGTCTTTGGTCCCCATCCCTTCACCATCAAGTTTCCGATTTGGGTGGGTGTGTTCAAATGAAGGGTACAACAAAAATTGCAATTTTCATTGGGAAAAAATTGATTGACTGCCATCTTTTTAAGGGGAAACCGGGAAACCCTACAATTTCAGAAACACCTGAATGGTTTTCTTTGTTTCAGAGATTCTGAACATCTCAATCCCCTAGATATCACGTATCACAAGAGAGTCATTGATTGTTTCCCGGTTGATTGCTTCTCCCCAAATTCTCCGGTTTCTTAGATCTATATCCCCAATGATGACCCAACATTTGGAAGGATCACAATGATTTTCACAATGCATCCAAAAAAATATATCCTAATCAGTCTTAATCCTTATCTTCATCATCCTCATCATCTTATAAGACTGATTATCATACTGAATATAATTATCTTACTAATATTACTGGATTAAGGAGATCCTAATCATCTTCATTATCTCCTAATTATCTTACTTAACTTGTCCTACTGGCCATGAATCTTTGTCTCCATCCTACTGGCTCAACCCTCCAGGCTGCAGAGCTCGGCTGGCGAAGGCACCAATAAAATCAGGGGCGAGGTAAATGATTGTTTCTACATTGCATAGTTCATGATTGTTTTTCTGATAGTTACTGATTGGTATATTTTCCTCCCATGGGAAACAACTGTTAAACAGATTTGCTTCTCTGATTTTCTGGGAAAAGAATGGCTTGAGCACAAAAACTGCAAGATTGGCTGTTGCTGACATGTCCTGTTTTCCCATTGGTGAAGAAATCAACTCAATCGCTTCATCAGTTTCGAAGCGTAGTGGCATGTCAGCACAAGCATTTGTTGCATCATGCTGTTGCTTCAAGAGGAACCAAAGGGTGTGGCAAATTGGACCCCAAAATCTAATTGGATGTGAGTAAAACAATGTCATAAACCATCCCCCAGTCATCACATTTTTATAGGTGCGAAAAAAACAATTCCCAAATGGGTGCTTTATGGCATTATTGTTTTACCCAAATTAGTGTATCATCATTTTTCCCATTGAATGGCCACAAATTGTGTGGGGCAGATCCACATCATATCGTTGCCACATTGCAATATCCCAAGAAAACAGTCAAAAAAACACCCATTCGAACGATATGGGTAATTAATCAACTTAACCTGATATATATATATATATATATACGTATACATATATATATATACGTATATATATAAATATATATACGTATACATATATATATATATGTACAGTATATATAGGTAATTTAAAGGTAACCAAACATGGTAACGATTGATGGCTGAATCCAACACATTCCAATTCGGCTGCACACATTGCGGGTCATTTCTTGTGGGTCCATGTGGGGGAGACCCCCAGTGCTTGGCCTGTCGAAAACTCAGACTAGTTCAATGTATCAGAAACCATCGTTGTAAGTCTATAGTTACGATAGGTTTCTCAAGTTAGGTTTCCCAAGAGAAAGCTATCATAAAACACCTAGAAATCATTTTTTTGGGTGGTCAAGTCGCCATTTTTTGTCCCCTATGGTATACCTATGACCCACCTGCGAGGAAGAGGGTCACGGTGAAAAAGAAGTCTAAGAACCACGCGACCCTCCAGGACGCGATCTAAGGGGTGGAAGTTCCAACTTGGTTGAATATGTCCCCATTGTTAGTTGGTTATGGTACAATAACCACCTCCAATAGTGGTTATATATATGGTTATAAAATAGCGGTTACTGGTTATATTCATGGTTATAGCTTATGTTATAACTGCGGGGTTTTAGCTCGCCATAGTTCAGTTGGGATATGAGGTAACTTAGAACTGGACCTGCACTTCCAAGTGCTAAGTTACTAGGCTAGCCAACAAGTGATAGTACAAGATTTTACATGGCTTTTGATATACCCTTTGGGTTATGGAAAACAGATGAACACAGCCTACGGATTGGTCAACCCTTTCTGCGCCACAGTTTTTCAACGATTCATGATGATTCTACGTGCAAGGTGCCCCCAAACGTTGTCTTTCTTGGGTTTTGCTGGTTTGTAACGCCAAGGACCCAGTTATTTCATCACCGGGAAGCCTAGATAGCCTAGTGTTTCATGCTATGGGGCACCACTTTCTGGGCTTTTTTTCAGCTTTTGAATCATGACGTTCCCTAAGTGAACCCGTCATTTGCGCCTATTTCGTTCGATGATCTTCCCATTTCAATCCACATCTTCCGTGGGTGTCCGTGGATTGCCCGATTTCAAGGTTGAATCATCGGTTTTTTCCACATCTTTGCTGCTTGAATCATTCATTTTTTTGGGGTAACAAATCCTCAACATATTTTGATAAGGTCTACACATATATATATAGTATAATATACACACATAATGTATTTATTTATGTATATTGTATATGAATTAGTTCAAAAAAAGGGCTATCCCTTAAATATCTTAAATCCGCTGGTTCATCATCATTCCTGAAATGGCGATCATTGTACCACTAACGGCCGAGGAAGCCAAAGTAGATGGCCAGATGTCTGAAGGAAAGAAGGCACCGCCCGGGGTGGCCTGGCTGGGTGGAGATTAGGAAAATAAGGCGATGGATATTGACGAAACTTAAGAGTTTTTCAAAAGGCAACGCATAGCAAAACTTAAGAGTAGCTTGAGCAGTGCGGTGATAAATTATGGATATGCGTCAAGATTGGATTGCCAAAGAAGCTACACTACACATAGATTGGTGCCTTGTTTTTGGATCCTAAACCATCCTATTTGCGGTGAACAGTCTGATCGATCTCATCTATGGTCGTTTGGATTGATGCGGATCACAACCAATCACGAGCTGTTTGGTGTCAAAATGGCCTTTGGTGAGATCTAAGAATATGGCTAAATACACCACTAATCCATTTTTCATTTGCGAGCCTATTCTTATCGCTACATCACCCTTTTCTGATCGCAGATACCAATTCAACCACACTTAATCGGGCTTAATCCGTCCATCGAAAAATTTTAGCAGACTTTGATGTCCCCAAATGAATCCCATGTTTGTGGCTGGGATTCCAACCATCAATTGCCATCAATAAAAATATGGGTGGAATATGACATTGCAGCAGTACTTACGTCTTATGTTTATGTGCTTGGTTGGTGATTATCAATAGCAACAATTACTGGCTTATTGATAACTGTAAATCACATTATATTGTATATAGCCATAGTGTTATACGTTGAATGTTAAATGTGACACAATAATACTCTTGCCTCGCTATGGAGAGAAATGCAAGAGTACTAATTTTTAGTACAATGATTATATCATTATCGCACCCATAAAACACAGTACTATAATAGTATTGTTATGAATTATTATTATTACCAACCATGGGTTATTACTAATAACAACAATTGTTGGATTATTCATCACATTTCATTGATTATACCCATAATACTACATGTTGTATGTTAGTAACATTTTCATGTGATTAAACGCAATGAAGGGGACTTTTTATTTATTTGGACCTTTTGAGACCCACCTGGAATTTCGATCCGGACCTACCGTCTTGCCCCCTCTCCCAATCCCCCGGGTTTTTTGGGTGTCGATGGGTCTCCCAACACACGGTGCGACGATGGGCGCTGCGCAGCCACCTTACATGTTTGAGGCTACGGGTGGAAAACCGAATCAGTATTTTATCATGTTTTCAAGAGGGGGTGGTGGTGGGGTGGGCTAGGTTAACAGTAATTAATGGTTTGCAAGAAAGGTTTTCCACCCGTAGGCTTCCTCAGCTAAAAGATATTGGTTCATTCACTGTTTGCTCTTTACTCCTCATCGCATGTTTTTGGTGACGGCGCCCCTCGAGGGGCAAGACTGTTGTCACTTTTGTATATAGTCTTTTTTTGGCGGGGGGTTCTGGGGGGGGTTTTTGGGGGGTGTAATAGCGTCCCCATGTGGCCTGCATTGTCAATCATCCATTTCCTGGTATTGTACAACATCTTCGTCCAGCAACTTGCAAGCCGTTCCTGATACGTTGTAACATCTTCGTCCAGCAACTTGTAAGACGTTCCTGATACGTTGTAACATCTTTGTCCAGTAACTTGTTAGACGTTCCCCTAACTTCTAACCCCTGGCGTTTGTTGAAGCAGGCTGTTCCCAAGTCTCTTGCTTCGAAGAAAGGCCACACTTATAACCCGGCTTTGATCAAGCATTGCAGATCCTGGCAATGGAGATGGGAGAACACTGGCGCCTGCTTGTTTCAAAAGACTGCCAAAGTCTTGAATGAGACTGTCCAGTCTGGATGACAAGTGCTCTGCATCCTTGGCGATGGAAAAAATGGCGCGCAGAAGTGTGCTAAAACCTGAAGAATTGAAGAAACAAAATGACGCTGATTTTGCAAGCTCATGAATGCAGAAAACATTGCAAAACGCAAGAAAAAGCCAAAACACACCGGCAAGGCGAATGTCATCAACTGAAATGCGTGCCAAAACCATGCGTTTGGCATCCAATGTCTATCATATGAACGCCAAGAACAAACATAACGTGGGTTCAGTTTCCCACCCGGCGGGATGTTTGAAGGTTTACTAAAATAGGGGGTACCCCGAATCATCCAATTTTTTAGGGGTTTTTACATGAAATAAACCACAGCTATTGGGTTAGCCCTATTTTAGGAAACCTCCATATTTTGCTGAATGGTGTCCAATCTATGAATGAATTCCCAGCCTGAAACCCTGTGTTTCCGCCATCTCAAGCTGCTCAATCACGGTATCGTTTGTTATCCAATTGATATCTATATAATATTTATATGGTTATGTAATTATGTATCTCATGATGATTATATAGAGATTAGATTTTAACACCAGGTGACCTCATAAATATCATATAGCAATGATATCCCAATGATTCAATGATAGCTTAGCATCTATCATATTCATAAAAAATATATCAATAAATAAATATATATATATTACATTGATTGCTATATGTCCCTTTGAAATCGGAGAAGATTTTCGCCCATCGAAAACGCTTTCAGGAGATGTCAGCCAACATCATGGAGGTCTTGCAAGAGGAGGACATCGAGGCGCGCCTGGTAGGGATTTTCCAGAGCTATGCGCCTGGTGGGGTCGCAGTGATGTGAACGTTGCTTTGTAAATCTCATGAATACTAGTTTGATATAGCATAAAACCATAGTGACCTTGGCGTGGCACCAACTTAGAAAAACAGTGAATCACCATATGTTCATCAAACACTATATTAAATCAACGATTAATTCAACATTCAATCATGATAAAACCACAAGAAAACTCATCAAACATCACAATATTTTTTCCGATGGGTTAAACCCTATGACCATTTCCTCACCTTGCGGCTGGTGATATAGTACCTATATGGTTACGAACTGAAACCGTTTTTTTTTTGACTGGTAGTTTTTCATTATATATATATATATATCTACTATATACACCATATATATATATATATATGTAGTATGCTATAAATATGTATTAATGGATAATGGAAAATCACAAGCCAACCCGCATTAGATGAACATTTTCTGTGGACTAACAAAAATTGACCATGGTATCACAAGTCTCAACAAACATACCACCGTGTAAAGAAAGTGTAGATTCAGCTAGATTTGTTTCTCAAACATGGATATGTTCAAGAGAGGTTCTAGCAATTTCGGCAAAATTGATGCAGTGCCGAGGCTCCGAGGTCATGGGTTGATGGTTGATGGTTGAATTTTAGTGGCGAAATTCAGTGGCTTCTCGTGTGAAAAATCCAAGCCATCCACAACGTCCGCCACTGTCCCACTGCGAGCATGCGGCGTTGAGGGATGGTGATTCTCCCACCATGGATGACATATTGGCGAAGTGGATCCCTCTGGGAAACGTGAAAAGCGAACTGGAAAAATCCACCATGTTTTTTAATGGAAAATCACAATTTTTTGATGGAAAAATCCACCAAATTTAATGGGTAAATCAACGAACTCAATGGCCATGTTCAATAGTTATGTCTGTTTACCAGAGGGTAATCGAATGTTGATGTTCAATTTTTAGCTGATGGTGTGGGGATTTTACATGATTTTAATTTTACTATTTTTGGTCATTCTAAGTTTCCCGACCGCAACAATTTATTGGTCATTTTGGGAATCCCATACCATCAGCTGAGACATGTTTGAGCATCTTAGTACTCATAATGGGTGTTTCTCAAGTCATGGGGGATCCCCAAGTCACCATAGGTTTCAATACTAAAACGGTCGTTCCTGACTTGGATTATGACTGGGGGTACCCCCATGACTTTATAAACCTCCACATGATTTAGCGATAAATTTCGCTGGTCTAGTTTCTACCCTCACCATTAATCATCACAAACACAAAAAAACCTGGCTGCTTGTCAAGTTCTAGGACATTAATGATCATATCCCCATACCGATGATTCAAACCAATATTTGTTGGTTGTATCCCCATAGATTTTCTTCGGTTCAACACGTCACAGGAGTGGTTTGAAGAGGAGATCGAGGACACAGAGATAGCACTTGAAGACGAGCTAGTGCCGTGACAGATCGGTGTTTGGTAGAGAATTCCCACAGGAAAACCTATGAATCTAATGTGGGGTAAAGCAATAACAAACCACCCATTTGGGCATATTTTATACCACCTATTTACATGGTGATGACTGGGGGATGGTTTATGACATTGTTTTACCCACATTAAACACCATAGGAAAATTGTGATTTAACCAAGAAAGATATGGAGATTTCTAAAGCTAAGTTGGTGCCAACAGCTCCAAGAGCGATAAACCAACTTGGAAGTGGGGAGGTGCCATGAAACATACCCATGTTGTCCATGTTGATTTATTGTTTCTGTTAGAAGCTCCTGTTACAGCTTGGGGCCCCCCCAGTGATGTGAATGTTGGTTTATAAACCATGAAATAACCCCCATTATAATAACTATAGTTCGTTATCTCTACCATAAATAAAAGTTAAGCCACTTATAAGGCAACTGAACGCTATCTTGGGTGCCCCATCCTGTACTAATTACCTAAATTAGTTGGGATGAACTGACCAATGGTTGAAAACCTATCAGCCAACACCATGGTGGCATTCGGTGGTCCTTGAAAAAATAAGGGCTACTGGGGGCATGGGACTTGATATCAATAAAACGGGATTTTATGGCGATGAATCGTCCATACATCGCTTAGTAAATGGGACTTAAATGTGAAATCAACGTACCGTAGAACACAATGTCATATAAAAGGGTTTTTGATGGTTTTGTATGATTTTATGTGATTCCATATAGTAACCATATTGGTATAAAACCAAGCATCATGGAAATAGAATAGAGGATTTCAAGCCAAACGCATATGATTTGGGTTTGTCTGAAAGTGGGTGATAACCATAAAATGGCTCTAAAATGGTCGAGAACATGATTTATCTTCACGTACCATATATTCAGAGAAATCCACATTTCAATGGCTGCGCCCAAACTTGAGATTTGGGGTCACTTGGAGTTGTGTTCAAAACCCCTGTTGGTTGATGATTATATAGGGGATTATACTTATAATAATCCAACAGAGGGATTTGGAACACTGCTCACTTGGAGTTGTGTTTCTGTTGAGTGTCCCAAGACTCCAAGATAGGAATTCCTCTGCTAAAACCGACCTGTTGGGATCGAGTGCTGGTAGCTGCCCAGGTCCCCACATCGGAACCCCCATGTTTTTTCCGAAAATCACCAGCCAACCAGCAACAGATGCACATTTTTTGTGCACTACCAAAGATTGACCATGCATGGAGCTTTCCGAAGATATCGGGGTAGCCCCAAGTCATCCAAGTCATCCAAGTCATCCAAGTCATCCAATGGTATGGCTGACCATTTGACTTTGACTTCGCAGCTTTCAGAGGGCTGTGCCCGCAAGCGACGTGAAACAAACATGGCAACGAATTCGAAACTGAGGCACCGGCGCATGCAAAATGATGCAAAATGAACCCAAAAACACGGGGCCGCATTGCGACGCTCAAAGAATCAAAACCAAAGCGTAAAGTGGCTTAATAGCGAAACATGATTTCTTTGCTCATAACAAAAATCTTCAACACAATGGTGCTTCAGCATGTCAATCAAGCTGAGAGAGGTCATTCCTGTCAATGTGCTTTGCAGAGTCTGGCTGCTTGCACTTTACCGTAGGATCAGCATCACCCTTGTATAGTTCCTCAGAAGTACACTGGAAATCCGCATGCAAAACAGCCACAACATCCCTATGAAACCGTGATCGCGATGCTGAAACTTGAGAATGTGCAAGGGCTTGGTTCAGTTCAGGTGGGTATTCCTTCCCTCCTGATGTGTTCCAGCCACCTGCATCACCTCTTCCCTGCGATGGTCTACGTTTTGCTTCTGGTATTTATGATTTTGCGAACATCAGGAATGTGACAAACAGCCACATGAATAAAGATTGGTAACCCGGGCACCAAAACAAGCTTACTATTGAAACCTATGGTGACTTGGGGATCCTCCATCTTAAGGAACTTCCATTTCTGTTAGTCGCAGTACCATCAGTACCCCAAAAACCATACGTTTCAATACTAAACTGATCTAATGATTTGGATGATGACTGGGGATCCAAAGCATTTTAAGAACCACCTCGTGACGTGTATTCCAATGGGTCCACATTTCTGGCAACTCGGCCTATGAGGATAGCTTCCAGGTTTTCAACCATCGAATCTAATCCGCCCTTCATCCAAAAACCAGGTTTAGTAATGGATCTACACTTGGTACCTTTTGTACACAAGGGGGTTGTTGAATGCTAGGGGATGAGATGATTTAGATTCACATCCGATTGGGTTTTGATCCGTAGCCGTCCCTGCAGACACTTTTCAGGCAGCACGGCCCGTCTTTGTGCTTGTGCAAGTCACGATGCTGCAATTCGAAAGTGGCCAGGGATGGGGGGTCTCAAAGACTTTTTTTGGGTTTTTGGGTAAGTAGAACCCCATCCCCCAGTAAGCGCCCCCGTGATAGTTTTTGTGGGGGTGTTTACTTATTTTTTGGTTGGAAGAATGTGGAATTCACCCTGGCGCATCCAAGGTTTGCGAACATTTTGGGGATGATTTTGATGGGGGGTTCCAGCTACGGCGACTTAAATGATGATATGATGGGTACAGGGGAAAGCATCGACCGATGGTTCCAGAAATCTCACACATCAAGTTTTGGATTTCCAGCCCCAAAATTATGAGGACAAATTGCGTGTGTGGTATCTCTATGCTTTGTAAGATCTCTACGTTTAGTTCATGTGGTTTTCAAGTGCCAACATTCAACATGGATCTCGGGATGTCCTTGGTGCCAATTAAGAGACTCCTGAGTGCCTGATTGTTGCATTTGTGACGGGCGAAACAAGTCAACACTCAATGTGAAAAAAAAAGCGCCTGAGACCAGCTGTGTTGATTTTGTGAACCTCACTTTTTCATAGGTCAAATCCCATTAAACCCCATTAATCACCATAAAATCCCATTAAAAATCCATGATTTTTCAATTTTGACATTTTTTTTTTTTTGCCATGGCCACGTAGCCCCAGGTGACTTTGATCGTGTTGTTTTGGCTCATCGCCTCTTGTATTGAGCCGGGTGAGTTTCTTGGTGAAAAAACGCTGAACGCTTGGCGCGGCGCCAGGCCCAGGATGTGCCATAAAACTTTGGTAAAGGATAGAAATTCATGGATAATATATAATATGATATAATGTTGTGTGGTACAAATTTTGTTTAATCGTGTATAATATTATATAATAGGTATAAGATACATATAGATATATGATATATGATATATATATATATATGATATTTTCATTGACCTTATAGTACTATATGTATAGCTCTTATTACATGTTACTACTATGATGATGATGACGATGATGATGATGATGATGATGATCCATAGTAATTTACAATTCTTGTTAGTACATATTATTACCATTCTTATGTGTATATATATATACATTAATTAATGTATACTAGAGGCATACCATCTAACCAACTCACCAGCGGTCAGACCCACAGTTAAGCGTGCTTTCCCGTGTTGGTTGACATGTGTGTTGCCTAAGTGACATGGAATGCTGTAGAAATTACCATCTGGTAAACAGACAGTTTGCTATTGAAAATGGCCATTTATAGTGGATTTTCCCATTGAAAATGGTGATTTTCCATAGTTTTTTGTATGTTTACCAGAGGGTAACAACAGAATTTTTTACGAATCAACTCTCAATCCTCAGTTTCACTGAGAAATCCCCCCATTATATCCAGTTATGGATGTCAGTAAGTCACACCATTGATGGTCACTTGGATCCCTATCTACCATAAAAAGAACTGGTAGTATGTTGGCTGTAGTCCCCATCAAGCCCAATTTTTGCTGGTGAAATCATGTCAAATCCCCTTGATCTTCTCAATGATCTCCCCATTTTCGCCCTTGTCGTCAACGTCAGAGGCACGGCTGGCTCTTCACAGTGGGCGGCTTCGAAAATCTCTTGCCCGGGCAGACGCTCTGTCAGGCAGGGAACTTCTTCATAGACAGTGGACAGCTTCCACCATCTAGGGGAAACGTTTAGATGTGGAACATCAATGGTGAAACGGCGAAACTAACATAGATGTGGAACATCAATGAATATCAATGACAATCAATGGTTTCGGAAATGATCCATTAAATAGTGGCTCCTCCACATGTCAGTTTACGGGTACCAACAGTTGAACCCCCCAAAAATGGTGATTTTCTATAGTTATGGCACCAATTACCATTCAGGTAGCTGGTTCAAAACCCGGGTGATTCGTCCCGGAGTTCTGGGTTACCTTGAGCTACCGTTTACTTATGAGGTTTAATCGGAATATAAAGCTGACACAATGGGGTTTCATGGGAATATATAGCCGGGATAGCTGGCTTTGCTTAGTCGGAACCCTTCAGCAAATCCAAGGCATGTGGTAAAAAACTGACCCGGTTCTAAACGTAGGGAATGGGGGAATGATCCACAATAACTACTTTCATAGTCATCCAAGCAACCCCCATTCCCTACGTTTCGCACCAGAAAGAAAACCATGCTTAGTTCAAAGTTGGGCTTTGTTATTTTCAGACATACTTCTGGATTCATAACTTACTGTATAACGACCTCACTTCGCGATGTCACTCGAAGTGCTTGTTCGCAATGAGGGCCCTGGAAAATATCCCATCCATTTCCCGGAAGTGGCATCACTGCCTCCACAGGATCAACCACTTCTTTACGCATATCTCTAGAGGAACGGCTCCCCAGGATTTTTTTGTTGAGTTATGCCTCTATTTCACAGATATATCATGAATTATCATGATATATCCAAAAGATCAACCAGAAATCCAATTGCTTGCCTAGTTGGAAATCAACTTACCTGTCATAAATGACATGGAAATCCTATTTTTGTTGGTTATAGTATGTTACAGTCATAGTTGTACCATGTTGAATGGTTGTTAACACCTTTTAACTTGGCTTTCCCAGTTGTCCACCACGCGCTGCGAAAGGCGTACTCGGATTGCAAGGACCAAACTGACCAAACCAAGCGTTCGGGGATTCAACCGTATCCTGCAGGTACTGCAGGTGGGTGACCCCAAGAATGTTTGGGGTTTATACTTTTATGGGATACGGATAATGCAATATAACTATAACTGGTTTGTGGTTTCAAACATGTTTTATTTTCCATAATATATGGGATAATCCTTCCCATTGACTAATATTTTTCAAGATGGTTAAATTAAAAACCACAAACCAGATAACTATAGAATGTTCTAGGATATTATTGTACTTGGAGCATCATCCTACTTACTAACTGCTTAGTTGAGTCGGTTTATAACCCACTTATATCATATATATAAATATACGACAAACCCACTTACGGGACTTGCTGACTAGGGCTATTTTTACCACCTACCTTTGTGGGATGAACCTGAAAGTAAGTCCCATGAATTCTGCATATATCTACCAATTTTCATGACATATGAGTTATGTCCCCTGCATATTCCCAGAAAATATATCATTAAACCTAGTTAACCTAGTGGAAGAAACCACGATAAACCAAGATACTGCCATCACCACGATGGTCCCCCCATTTCCCATAATAGTCCTAAAGATTTCGCTAATCCTTGGGTGGGATTTTTAACAAATCTCTGATGGTTATGTACCTATCAAATCTCCTATCACCAGAAATGCATCACACTGTGGTTGGAGGAAATCCTTCAGTTGGTAGATGGTAAACCTCCGGTTACAATCGGAAAATTACACAAAGTTACCATTTGGTGCAGGATTTCTTAACCATCTATGGTATCATGATTCATGATTGTCTGTTTACATATAGTTGCTATCTTTAATCTAATATCTATCAAGTCTATAGTCTATACTCTTATATCTATACTCTGTAGTAGCTGGTTTATAGTCTATAGTACATCTATCAAGTCTACAGTCATCTATAGTCTATAGTATATTCTATTTATATATATATATCGTTGGTATCTTTAATCATCTGTATATTCTAATATCTACGTAGTATAGTAGTAAATTATACACCAAGTAGCAACATTTCGCAGCCTAGTCTATAGTCAATAAAAAATACGAGTGGGGTCATATCATATATATATTCCCATAGTCTAAATCGATAAATCGATAAATCGCATCCTTTTTGTATGACATACACCGCGGTGAGGACCTTCGCTTTCAAGCGTGGCGCTGGTGGTCCTATCAGCTGACCCACACCGGGGTGTCCCATGTGGGAACGACGCTCTTCCCATGGGAAGCCATGGTGATTTCACCAAGAGATGGGTTTATAAGCAACAATCATGGGGGATTCCCCTAGTAATCTATAGGTGATTTCTTGTGTGGCAAACCATGGCAAACCCATGTGAGGTAAAAATTTCATTGGGTATTGGTATTGGATCTTATCGGGTGAACCCCAACCAACTGCGAAACACAAGCGACTTGTTTTTAGGAGGAAAATGGATGGGAAATTGATCCACATGATTCGAGAAGCAAAGATGTTGGGATACAGGACAACTACGGTGGATGGAAGAAATCATGCACCAGTTGATAGATGGTTTGTCCCATTATTTATAGGGTTTTAACTGTCCAAGGCGGTGCAGGATTTCTTCCACCGTATGAACATGGAAATTCAAGATATATACAGTTCATATCAGTTCATTGTGAGGCTGTGACCGTGACCGTGATGTTGGTTGCTTTGGTGTCCTAGTCCTAGCCATCCCAATGGATATCTCCAAGCTGGGAAGGGTCGATGACCGTGCCTTCCAAGTGATGTGAACGTTGGCTAGAAGAAAACATGAAGTAGTTCGATATATCCACCGAAAACCATGGTGAAATATGGTGAAATTGGAGTTATTGGCACCAACCTAGTTATCTAGGGGTACCACTTTGTACCAACCCCTCTACTTATCCCTAGTCTGCTTTGTCTCAACATAGGGCCCTCCTCCCCCGAAAACAAATCCAACAGTTGATCATCAGCTTCCAAAGCAGCTTGTTGGTTTCTAACGCCCACAGTTCACGCCCTCAAATCAGCTATAAATGGTGATAAATGAGGTTATCATGCCATAAATGCGTTATAACTTAACCGACTTATAACTGGTAAAGGGACATAACTGCATTATCGTTAGATATCTCTAAATCCAAACAGCGAAGCTACTTCGTTCAACCAACCTAGCGATTCTGTTTTGTGGCACCACCTTGTAACCACCCTAAAGACTCCAAACTTACCAACTTCAGAACTATAATGAACTATAGGCCAAGCTTAAGCTTACCACCATTTTAACCATGATTTTAACCATGCGTAGAGGTCGCCATTCGATTTTCTCCTTTTTCGTTGTGTCGCGGTTCCTCCAATTTGTCGTTTCCGAACGAACTGTGACCTCTTGGCCAAGGAATAGCTTCATCCTGCTGTTGTGTGGGCTACCTTTGGAGCAATTTCAAGGGAGCCTTCGGACTTTTCTCTTGTACAATGCTGGCATCTTTACAGGCTGACCACGGCTGACCGACCGATGTTTCTATGATTTGTTATTAACCAACAGCCTTCAATAGTTGGGGCTGCAGTTCCAATGAACTACTGTAGCTATAAAGCCATAGATTGGGGGGTTTACATCCCTTCGGTTAAAATCCCAACTCATTGAACTCATCCCCATGAGCGGTAGAGTCATGGCTAGTTTCTTTCAAGGAGAGTCATGCTATCATTGGGTTACTGTAGATTTCCACAATCATTAACATGAGATTCACATCTTTACATTCGTTAATTGTTTTGCTACAAAGAAACTTCACACATCTGAAGTGTGTTGGTTGCAAAACCTCCTACGCTATTTGTTCACAGATTAAATGCAGATTCTACACACAAATTGATGTTTTAGTCTGGACGATGAGTCCCAGTACTTTGTTGCCCCACGGTCCCTGTGTAGATTTTTCGCCATCTATGGATAGGGGTCTGTCTGAAAATGGGTAAACCCATAGGGGCACCCCAAAATGGCCCATCCAATCATGATTCATCACAAGTTTCCTTATTTCAGTGCCTAGAAAAAATCGAGGGGTACACCCTATTTTCCGAGAGTTTCTCGAATATGAGGTTTCAGCCCATTCGAATGTAGGTAATTATGCTTAGCCCAGAATCAAGATGAAGTGCCAAGGATCCCAAGAAAGGCTGATCTAAACACCGCGATGGTCAGTTCAAAGAGGGGCACTATCCAAGCACCAACCACTTATCCTCATCATATCACCTGGTTGGTGGTGACTGGAACCATGGAATTTTATGACTTTACATATATTGGGAATATCATAATCCCAACTGACGAAGTCATATTTTTCAGAGGGGTAGGTCAACCACCAAGCAGTGTTTGGCTTAATTCATCTTTGATCATGTTGGTTGCTTCACCCAAGCTGCTCGTGTCAGTGTCTAGCCCTTTTTTTTTCGTTCGCGTGCCGAAGTTATGTCGTAACATGGCTAGTTTTAAAATACATCCCATGATATCTTCAAGACTCACCCAAAAATGCACCAAAAATGTATCCCCATGTCATATTTCTTGCGATGAACATCACCATAAATAGGTCCCCATAAAACTCCTGGCAAAACCCACCATAGCTCCTGGCAAAACCCATGGATATCCCCAGAAACATCTGATTCTTCCAGAAAATCTGCAGGATCATGCCGCTTAGGAACTGATGAAGAATTCATGTTTTTTTTTTTTTCACATATTTATATAGGTATTTTTAGGATTTTTTAGGTGTATATACATATATATATATTACTGGTTGGTGGTTTCAAACATTTTTTATTTTCCATATATTGGGAATAATCATCATCCCAACTGACGAAGTCCATCATTTTTCAGAGGGGTAGGTGGCTCAGCCACCAACCAGTTAGGTATTTTTAGGTATATCGGTGAACTAGCCGCCCAGTTACTAATCAGTTGCGGTTCTGCTGCGAAAAAATCGGTGCGATCCTCCAGTCGAATCCTCAAAATCCCAGGATCCCGCCCCAAAAATACCATGATGACATCCTAGATTTCACCATGGCTGGTATCCTGGCAGACTGTTAGATTTCCAGAAAAAGTCTTATGATACTGGAAAAATATCTGTACAAGCTTTCAACAAAACAACACCATCTGAATCTAAATCCCATACAAATCCCCATTGTTGGTGGCTCATCCCACTTAAGTGGCTTAGTTCACCCTGGTTGTTTTTATGGGGGCTTCGTCCGACCGGGGTGAACTAAGCCACGATCGGTGGTCTTTTTTTTGCACCAAGCATCAAACAAGTGTTTTTTTTAACCAGCAAAATATGGCTCTCTCTCTCTATATATATATATACGTGTATATATATATATATTATATTTACTTCGAATATTGTGAACACTTTTGTTGACTTCTCAAAATACCTAAGTAATTGGGATATGTTTAATTGGGCTATTCCTCATATTCCTCTAAGTATCGAAAAAAGGGCCCCATTGGATGTACACAAATTCCTCAGCCGCTCATCGCAGGTGGCATCTTTAACCTGGCGTGGAATCCCCACAGCCAGCTGGCGGGCTGCTCTGCGGGGAACTACGCCCTGATCTTCGCCCACTTCGCTGAGCTCGGTGGCGTGGCGCGGGGTGACAGTAACGGGGCCCTTGGGGTTGGTATAACCTTAAACAACCGGGATACAGTATATATATATTTATTTATTATTGTATATATATATATATATCATATGACTTTACACACTGGTAAACTAACAGCTAGCTATCGAAAATCATCAGTTAAGTAAATCAACTACAACTGGGCCATTTTCCATAGCTTTGTTAAATTATATACCAGAGAACATCTGGCATGTATATAAATTTGCTTAGCGGCTGAATATCTGGATGAATTTGATCATGACTTCCCCTCGGATGGGGAATCATCCCCAAGTGGTGTAATTCAGCCAGATAGATGTGGAAAACCCATAATTTCCCGTTTGGAACATGTTCTACATTCATCGTTGGGTTTCCACATCTATGATTGTCGGTTTAAAGGTAACTTACTGATATGATGATACGTACCATGGTCAAAGTTGGATTGTATAGCCATTATGTGTGGATTCCTATGGCGTAAAATGGATGACCATAAACCATACACCATGTTTTGACCGTTGCACATATCTTTAACTATCAACATGTTCTAAGTGTCAAGATGTTTTATAAAACATATATGGGTTGGTTTTATGCACTGTGCTTTTGAGATTATATTATGATATATGCACATATCATGGGTCAATGGGTTTGTTTCTGGAAAAGTGGGGATTTCACACATTTCCACGGTCCAGATTTTCGGATTCGACCTCTCAGATGACCTTGGAAAAAAGCTGGCCAGGGTGCCGTTCATCGGAACGTATCGGAACGTATCATGTTCATGTTGGATTGGTGGTGCCCAGTTAGCTAAGTCAGTTTTTGACTCTAGTTTCAGGGCTTTATGGTTTATGGATGTTTATGGTATCTATAGCTAATGAGGTTTACACACATATCACTGGCACCAGCTTGTAGATGCTTGGTTTCCCAGAAGCATGAAATTCCATCCAGTCCATTCCCTAAAATCCAAGGCTCCCATTGGAAAAATCCATCCATTTCCGAAGTGTTTTTCCATGCAAATTTCCATCCAGTCCATTACCTTCCCAATTTTCCATCCCCAAAAAGTTCCCCAAAAAGCAAATCCTATATCATTTCCATACCCAAAAAAAATCGTGTTATTAAGCCCCCAGGCATGAATTGGAAGCAGAGCAGATATCGCTGGGCCAAATTCTTCACGTTGCTCCTGCTGGTGATCTTCGACATTCTGCAGTTCACCCTTACGGCCGATTTTCTGGGGCGCCTCGATGGGGAGAGGTGGGGCCACATATTGGGGGCCTTAAATGGTGAAAAATGATGTGTTTTTTTGATGGTTAAAGGCTGGGTCAATGGTGGTGAATAGTGGCCAACAAGGTGATCTTAAAAGTCGATGGTGTGGATTCAGCTAGAAATTCTGCGCAAGCAACTGAGTGATTTCAGCCCGCATTTTTGGTGCTAGATACTGGAAGATTTTGTGGGTGACAGCCTACTTACCATTGATCCTGACTTGAGTTTTGTAGAATTTGTAACTCCAGACACATTTAAGTTTAACCTGTGAACTACCAGGAAAATCACACAGTAATCCTGACTTTTTTCATGGGAAAATCAGCTATCGATGGCCCGAAACCAGGGAGGATTTTCCGACTGAGAGGATCTCCCAGCATTGGAGCTGCGCTGAGGTTTGGTATTGGTGCCGTGAGTAACCTGGCTGAACACTGGCTGATGGGTGCATCTTTTTCTGTTTCAGTTGCTGAGGATGGTGATTTTACGCCCAAAAAGTGGATTTAACCAACAAGAGTAAGGTTTTTTTTTCGCCATGGTTTATCCTGAAAAATAGTGCGTTTTTAGCAACACAACCCTTGGGGGAAGGGTACATAAGGGTACTGGGTAACTGGAGATTCAACAGTTACGATCCGTGGGGTGATCCTCAAGTAGTTCATATGGAGGCACGTTGATGTTTGTCTTTCTGTTTCTTCCGGTTGGCGGCTGTGCCACCCTGAATAGGTTTTGCATGTAGTGAGCTACATCCAATAATCAACCGTTCTCAATTGGGATTTTTGAATTTGGGTTCCTATTTGGGGATGATTTAGAATGACTCCCAAAAAGATTGATTACTGGGATGGTTTATTTTTGGGTTTACCACCTTATTTGTAGTAAGCTGTCAGGTCAAATTGCGTTCGTTGTTGGAGATGTGGCGCATGAAACGAAAAACAGCTGTTTGTTCTGGCACGGGAAGGTTGTGGAAGGCTTTGGCCCTTTTGAAAGCTGTCTACTGGAGAATTCTGAGAGAATGAGATAGATTGTCGTAGCTTTCTTTGCTCTGTCATATTTTTGCTGATCACACTTCATGCTTGCTGTATTGGCACTGGTGTCATCTGGGAAATTATCGTGGCCTCACTGTGACCCAACTGGAATGATGGTTAGTAAGGGGAATTATCCCAATATAGCCTTATGTCAGATTGGTGAACTATTGTAATTTGCCCAGAATGTTTGGGAGACATGAGAAGAAACCCCGCTTGCAGCCTTTGAACAGCCATTTGCATGTGCCACACTTGTTGAGTTGTCCAATTGGACCAGTGTTTTGTGATGTGGGCAACCCAATAACCATCAATAACCCAATATAATTAATCATCTACCATTTGGGGATGTTTTATACATTTTTATACCACTTATAAAACAAGTTCATTTTGGGGATGGTTTATAATTGGATTGATTGGATTCAAATCGACTAGACGCATAGCTTAGCAGAATCCCACAGTTGATTAGTTCTGAAGTTCTTCAACTTGACGATTTTCGAAATATTTTTCTAAATCTGCTTGGTGGTTTGGAACTTTTTTCCCATATATTGGGAATAATGATCCCAATCGACGAACTCATATTTTTCAGAGGGGTAGGTACTGTATACCACCAACCAGGTGTGATTTGTTCATGGAGATGGATCTGGATTTACCAAACTGACGAGGATTTCTTCAACTGGATAGCCGGGCAATTGGTAACCGTAACCAACAAGCCATTCTATATCCAGTAAACAATCCAGTTATTAACCAGCTAACTAGCTCCATCCCACCTATGTTTGTTGGTTTATCTTTTCACCCCATTAACATCCATTAACTAGTTCGATATATCTACAATAACCTTTTAAACATACGAGTTAACGAAGCTACTTCAACCAGCTTGGCTAACATCAATCATGTATAAATTCCTATAAATTACCCTCTGGTAAACTAACATAGACCCTGGCAGATAAAGGTTGGAAGATTAGTTTCAACTAAACAATGGCTATGTTCCGGGTCTAAGTTAATTTACCAGAGGATGGCATTTTTTGTCTTTTTTGTTGTTATCATCTAGGGCACCAACTTCCCCAACGTTGGCACCGCTTTGTAACTTCTGCCAATTAAACAGATCGTGCGAGGTCACATGGCCCGCATTGGTGGGGCGCTCACCGGACTGCTGATAGGTGCAACAGGGATGGGTGATTTTCTTGCTATGAACCCGTTTGACTGTTTGACAAGAAAAGAGGCATAGTAAATCTTAGTAAACAGTAAACCCCAAAAGGATGCACACAAGTCGGTTGGAAAGCTGGTTAAACTGTGGAGAAAACATCATCGAACTATACCATCCTGGATACTTCAAAAAAATGGAGGACATACACGTCGAACCTATGGGTACAATGAATGGATAATGGATAATTGGGTTTGTCCAAAAAAAGCGGATAACCCCAAAATAACAACATATTACTATACATTGAACATGGAACATGATGATAAAGCATTATTTAGGGGTACCCACTTTTCAGGCTTGCATGCTTGGCAATCTATGCAGTTGGAAAAGCAATCAATCCTATAATTTCTCCGATTGTGCACGTAGGAAGACTTCAAGAGCACAATCAAACCGGGGTGCTGTACCCTCTGGTAATTTAACATAGCTATTGAACATGGCCATTGAGTTCGTTGATTTACCCAGCTATAAAATGGTGGATCTTTCCATAGTTTTTTGTATGTTTACCAGGCCGGGTACCTAGAAATGGATTCTGTCGACCGAAAACCGTCGATGCTGGTCCAGAAAAAACTGACCACACATGGACCTAGCAGCTAGCATTTTTGGTCGGGTCTCCGGCACCTCCAAATTGGTGAGGATAGATGCACTTGGGAGTAGACACCAAGGTTTGTGAATCTTCCACCCATGAGAGCTGGGCTGGAAGGTTAACACATGTTAACACCATAGTTATACTATGTTATTCTGGCACCGGATTTTTTTGGTAGGCGCCAGTTGTGCATGACAAATCACGTGCAGCTCCGTCTAGGTGTCTGCTTGACTCGAAATCTGGTGATGAAACGATGGGAGCGCATTGGAGACTGGGTCAGAAATCGAGGATTGTCGACGATCGAATGGAGGAGGTGCAAAGCAACAAAACTTGCGAGCTCCCACGTTGTAGGAAAAATGGACGAAGAATGTCACCTACACCCTAAGATGATTTGCAAGAATTGGGATCATAATTCCATTTTGTTGGGAGAAAAACCAGACTTGAAACTTCTAAGCTGCCATGCCAGCCAGTCATGAGTTGCTTTGATTGCAAGCCAGTCAGGAGTCCTAATAATTGTAAGTAACATACATATTACTGTAACTCCCCCAAAAACCGTTGCTATACCCCTCATAATTCAGTGGAAAATCCAGGGACATCATAAAAGATTCGGATTCGCATCTTTTTCGGGTCGGAACACAAGTCATCCAAACTTGGTCGGTGCTGTTTTTTTGGTCGGTGCCAAGCAAGGACAGCTGATGGCATTCCTGGCCTTTCTCATCATCTTAGGGATTCACTTTGGGCCACCCGGAGAAAAAATCGGAGAGTTGGTGAGTCATGGGGACAGCTGGGCCATGGGGGGTTTCCGACTAGTCATGGAGGTACCCTCTGGTAAACGTTTACATAGCTACGGAAAACCACCATTTTTGATAGGTAAATCAACGAACTCAATGGCCATTTTCAATAGCTATTTTGACATAACCAGAGGGTACACCAATAGCTGGGTGGTTTAGAGAATGGATCACTTTATGAAAATGGATTAGAACTGGGGGCACCAGCATTTTAAGGGAAAGCTCCATATCTTGATGGTGGTTCCTTAGAGGATTCTCACAACTGGTTGACAAGCCTAGTTTTTGTCCCCGATTTGTGGATTCTCCAGTTGCGAACCAGTTAGTGGGGATGACCCTCCAAGTAGTGCAGTGGAACGGGCTTGTGAACATTTTCCGGGTGTATACTACAATTTTATGCATTTATGAGATGTACTTGTGTAGCGGAATTGCATTGAATTGCTGTGTTTTGTATGGACAGGGAATTGGGGCAAAACAGTCAGGATTAAGATACCGTGCACTATGCACCAACTAGTAGAATACAAGTGTAAACAATCTCATCCAGCCACTCCGGTCACTTTGTGCAGTCCGGGGTTCTGAAATATGGATGAAAACCCTGGTAGGGAGAATCATAGCTTTGAACAAACCATCTATATAAACCTCTGCCTTTGTTGATTCTTCCTCTTTTTTTGGTGGTGCTAAAAACATATATCCAATGTAAATGTTTTGGCAATTTACCAGTTATAAGTACTGATAGTTAATCCCATAAAAATGGTATGTATCATCCCATAGAAATAACCAGTTATAACTCATAAATGGCCATAAGTCCAATGTTTGTGGGTGAAGATGGCGGAGAATTTGCTGCTGACTCGAGGCTCTTGTCTCCTTGGCCCCCGCGCGAAATCTACAACCCGACACCCTGGTGCTGGGCGAGACAGGCGTTCGTTGAACTAAGGATTTATAGTTCATGGGGTTATAAAATGTTAGAAATCAACATATAACTGGCATGATCTTGTAGAAATGGTGCATTGAGGCCCCCTTAATTCCCAGTTTCGTACGGAAGTGATGATAAATCAGTGGGTTCAATGGTATTTTTAGACACAAGAAGTTTCCATCATCACTGACAGGTCTAACTGTCGGCACAACTCCGGATGCTTCCCGTGTTTCTTCACTGAGCCCAATGCTGGCCGGGAATCATGCCCAAAACACAACATCTTCCTATGTTTTGTTCCGCGCACGAGGAGTTGTTTGGTACAATTTACCTACTGTGGATGGTTGCGAAATTACCTTTTTTTGTAACTACTAGGTAACACTATTCAACACTGTGCGATTTTGCCGAATTTTGCCCACATAAATCGCAACTGCTGGGTAAATCGCCACCATCTTTCGATCCCATAGATTAAAAATGGCCAAGTTTTTTTGACCACGAATTTCTGTTTAATCAGCTGCCCATTCCGGGAAATATTTTAGGTCAAATCCCAAAGAGGAGATTGAGATAGTCAACTGCCATGAATCTTGTTGAACTCCCACATCATCTCAGATCCATGTTTGCAGATTCACCAATCCGTCAAGACCATGATTTGGTTTCATGTAAACTTATAGTGTGACATCCCATGTTGCTGAATTGATCGGCATTTTTTTGTCGCTTATGCTCTGAGGAATAATAACATGTCAGCAAATTCCAAGCAGAATAACATGTCAGCAAAATCCCAGCAAAATTGCAGTAAAACCCTAAATATTTGTTTCGCATATTTTTTTCCCAAAAAACAGCTTTTCAATCCCTCTCCCTAGTGCTCCAGTTATATCAAGGTTTTTGAAGCCCCGGCTGTGCGCCAATGCAGGTTGGTCAACAGCCAGGTGCCCCCTCAGTAAAAGGTTGGTTCAGAACCCCCGTTCAATAAACAACACACCATTGGTAACCATAATTATTAGTGGAGTATTGGTAACCACAAACCATAGTTATTTGGCTGGAGTTGTCAGCCAATTTGTGGCGAACGCGGGGGCACCGTTATATTTTGGTTCTAGAACTGGCGCACGATCCTTTCGCAGGTCTTCAACCAGACCTTGTGGAACGACGGCGAGTACCACTGCGTCCGGTGCGCTGATGATGCCTGCGCCTGGGAAGTGTTGCCAACTGTGGGGAGTCACTGCGAAACCTGCGAACTGCTAAACCATCGATTTCAGGGGGGGATACAATTTTGAGCCATACGGACGTGGTTTGAAAATGGGGTAAGGGCCGAAAAAAATGGCAATGTGGATCGGGAAAATGATGACATGATGACATGAAATATGGGATTTTGGAGGTTTCCAATCCGGTGCACCCCAAATCATCCAAGTTCTTGGACCATTTTTCGCAGGATTTTTCAACCACCACGGTGACGACTGTGGATCTCCCGGAAGTCCAGCATCCTGATGGAAAATCACCATGCTATCAATGGGTAAAATAGAGAACTGTTAGTTTACCAGAGGGTAGATTTACTGAATTTACTGGAGGCGTTACTCTAGTAATTCTGTGGAATCAAAAAACATGTTTTTTTCAGGGAAGGTGCAAGGAAGCGCAAGGGCGAGAGCAAGGGCGAGCGCAAGGGCGAACGCAAGGTTAACAAAAAAGTACCTTCCCTTCCTATGAATCCCTACCCATCCCTACCCCGTATTAATAAACGGTTCCCCCCCACCTCCTCATTGAAAAACCGAGAATTTGGGATTTGAGAATACAGTGCATTCTTTTTAGGCGGTGTTTCCGAATCGTGTATAGGGTAACACGCAGGGTGGAAACCGTTGATTCTGGTTGAATCTGCTAGTAGTCATATGCTACTGCTGCTGCTAGTACTATTACTGCTACGCTACGCTGCTGCTCCTGCTAGTGTTGCTAGTGTTGCTAGTGTTACTAATCACTGCCACTACCACTACCACTACCACTACTACTATACTACTACTACTACTACTACTGCTACTGCTGCTGCTGCTGCTACTGCTGCTGCTGCTGCTGCTACTGCTACTGCTACTGCTACTGCTACTGCTACTGCTACTACTGCTGCTGCTGCTGCTACTGCTACTACTACTGCTACTGCTACTCCTACTCCTACTCCTACTACTACTACTACTACTACTCCTACTACTACTACTACTACTACTCCTACTACTACTACTATTACTACTCCTACTACTACTATTATTACTCCTACTACTACTACTACTACTACCACTACTACTACCACTACTACTACCACTACTACTACTACTACTACTACTAGTAGTACGACTACCACTACGACGACGACTACTACTACTACTACTACTCCTGCTGCTGCTGCTGCTGCTGCTGCTAGTACTGCTACTACTAGTACTAGTACTACTCGACTACGACTATACGACGACGACTGCGTTCAGCCTACTACTAACTACCAACTACCGACTACCAACTACGAACTAGTAACTACATGTAACTGCCAACTACTAACTGCTAACTGCTAACTACTACGAAATATTACAAACATTTACTAACTACTACTAACTAAATCTTTCTACTACTAACTACTACTAACTACTACTACCCACTACGAACCACTACGAACCACTACTAACCACTAACTACTACAAACTAGGTCCACCGCTCATATCGGACCTTGGTACGGCATGTTTTTTTTTTACATTCTCATGGTATTGAATGCTTTCGTAATTGTGAGTTGAAACGTCAACATAATATTGATTAAGTCAATACCTATCTGGTTTCTGCTGCAGGAAATGAGAAAGGTTCATGATAGATCAAGGAGAAGTTGTTTACAGATGAAACCCCAATATGGTGGTGTAAATGTAACGCGCGCAGCCCGTGCATCATGAGATACAAGAGAAACTAAAAATAGTATTCGGTTATGTTTTTGCTAAAAGACACGGGGCGCGCAAGAAGGCGCAAGGGCGAATGCAAGATGGGAAAAGTAATGCATGAAGACCTTTAGGTTTGGAACAGTCCCCATGTATAGTTTTGTGCCCACATTGTTCCTGCTGAATCACAGCCACGTTTTGGGGAGAAATCGGTCATTTTACCTCTCTATTTACCCAGTTTCCCCTCTTGCATCTGGGGTGTTGGGAGCAAACGGGAAAAATGAGGGCTTACACCAACAAATCCAACAAACAAAAATGAGATAGTGCGGATGATTGAACATAAAACCAGCCAGCTGACATGTCATGTATTTGGAGTTTTCCAATCCCTGGGGGTAGCCCCAAATCCAAGTCATGGATGACCATTTCTCAATGTCTTGAACCAACCATGGTGACGACTGTGGATCCCACATGACTCAAGACATCTCCAAAACCATAGGTTCGATTTTGCTAAGTTGATTTTTCATAATTTAGGATACCCACCCGTTTTAAGAAACCTCCATAGATTCCATTCCCCAATTGTATCCCCATCATATACCCATATAGGATTTTCCTGCAAGGTGGTGCTCCCCGTTATAGGATTTCAATGGATTTAAATCATCCTTTTGGTGGTGCTTGATTTCGCAACCATCCACAGCAGGGATTAAACAACAAGAATGGAGCCTTAATGGCATATAGGTGGTGCCGCAAAACGTTAGATAATTTGGTGCCAATAAAGCCAAAAACGTCTGGGTTTATGTATAACTATAGTTACTGTGGTTTATAAACCAAAAAAACAAATATCACTGGGGCGATGTTTACCACTTGTCAACTGGTGCAGGATGTCACAACCATCAAGAGTATTTTTCATTGTTAATCATTTCTTTCATATTTATCAAATTTTATAAATCTCCATGGTTGTTGGTGAATCCATATTAATCACCATTTTAATCCATTTTAATCACCATTTCCAGCGGCTAACTACCACCAGCCATCACTGTCACCAGCCGGCGCTGCAACGGGCCGCCGAGGCATTGCGCGATGGTCGGCACAGAGATGGGTTGCTAAGGTGAACTGGCAGATCTGTGAGTACCAGCGAGGATGGAACTGACGGTGGATTTTTGTGAGGAAAACCAACCATAATTAACGGTGGATTTTTGTGATTCATATTAGAATATTATATAATACTACTATATGATTAGTAATATTACTCTGGTTGGTGGTTTCAAACATGACTTTTATTTTCCATAATATATGGGATAATCCTTCCCAACTGACTTTCATATTTTTCAGAGGAGTGGAAACCACCAACCAGTTGATCTATGGTGAGTGAAATCTATGGTTTAATAATGGTTAAATAAGTGGTTTCTCTAACGATAGTTGTAGGGGTTAAATCCCAAGCCATGGAGGTTATTACATGTTATTACTACCATTTTGATTTTGTCAGCATGAGCAAAGTAATTTTCAATAGCAGAGTATTTGGAGACGATTTGTGATTCATAGGGATAGGGATTGTTGACCATATTTTTGAACAAGAACACTTAGACGACAACATTTTGTTTTTTTGTGATGTTTTGAGAACGAAATCCATTGGGACATGGCTGATATATGATGGTTCATGATTGGCTAGTCAGGAGTCATTGTTTGAAGGGATTTTCAGCATGAACATATGTTATGTCATGTCTATATATACATTCTGAATGGTTGGTTGATGATCAGATGTAATCAACTTATTGACGAGTTGATACATGAACAGTGATTGGGGGGACTGATTAGTTATTTTATTCTTGACTGGTGCATACCGGCGCAATAAGCACAAGACATGGATACACTTTGGGTCAAATAACTTACACACTCATGGCTTGCTGCTATTGTGAATAATTTCTCCAGCTTGTAACAAGAGACTCCAAGGCATTCATTTGCAGTGTTTTTTTTTCAGCGCCCGGCCCAACAGTGACGTGAAGCTGTGCAACATTGTTGTGCAACATGTAGGGCTCCCTTATACTCGTAGCCAGAAATCCATAGAAATCCTACATCCATCCCCTTGCTGCACTGGAATCAGACTTGATGGTACTCCCTGCGCGACGCTAAGATCTTCAATGAACTTTCTGGATCCTTGGAAATGGTCCCGAGTTTCATAGATGAAAGAAACACAAATAGATCAGCCACCATAAAACCCAGTGAAAACGCAGATGGCCAACTTGGCTGGTTGTTGCATGCGCATCGCGAAAAAAATGGCATTATTCCACCAAGATGGTTTTATCAATCCACTTTCAATTGTGGCAATTCTCCTTCAAGTAGATACTGTAGACTACCTATCCACCTATCCATTTTAAGATGCTTCAATCATTTTTTCGTATTTGAAATCTTGGCTTCAAGTCTTTTTTATTTTCAGCCATACCCTAGAAATATGATGATTGTTTCCCCAATGACTTTCCCAGATTTTTCAGGTCGGTGGCTGAACCACCATAGATGTATAGTCTGTTTATTTTGTTTCCAGCAATACATTTGTCATTTTTAGCATTGACACGAATCTCGGATCTGGAGAGAGACTCCGTTTCACCGCGGCACGGTCAGTGCGTCGTGCCGCGTACGTATCGCGTGTGTTTTTTACGTCTCCGGTGACGTGTTCACCGCCCACGCCACGACTTCGTCGGACGGGTGACCGGTGACCAGGGTTCGCGAACAGCGATTGTTGGAAGGGAAGTTGGAACTCCGGGATCCCTCAAGTTATACAGGCGCGTATCTGGTGGTTTGGAACATGGATTTTATTTCCCCAATAGCTGGGATGATGATCCAATCTGACGAACTCATATTTGAAAAGAGGGATTGAAACCACCAACCAGTATGTCATGGTATGTCTGAAACCGACTGGATGAATCATTGTTGAGTTTTAGTGCTACACAACTGATCTTTTGCTACAACAAGGAATATTGATATACGAACCAGCTATATACTATTTATGTTCAAACAGTTTGGGGCAAAAGGTCAAATACATCAGAACTCATCATGACTGATAACATTTTGATGGTATATCCATTATACAACCATTATATCACATTATATAACCCTTATTATGTCCTTATATAAACATGTTGTTGTGTTGCAAAAAGACACATCCCTGCGCCGGATGCGGCCACCGAACTGCGACAATTCGTCGCCAATGTTTCGTGAGTGCACCTGCCAAAAGCTTCGGCCGCCGCAGCGAATATCGGTAGGGAATATCCTTCACGTTGGTAAAGAATATATCAATTTAGCTGGGAGACAGTAGCTAAAGAAAAATAGTACGGACACCAAACAATGGGCTAAACACATTTTTTTCAGTTGATGAAAAATATGAGAGTCTATGTATGTATATAGATACGTATATGCTATGTATACATAAATTTGTGTCTGTACGCATGTATAATGATAGTTTTTTGAGGGTGTGGTCTTGCTGTTTGCCGTCTGGGTATGTATGGGTCTGATCGGCTCTTTTGTGAGATATGTATGGCATCTTGCTGGCAAATCTTCACATTCGCTGCGGATGTTACATTACTGGTTGGTGCTTTCAAGCATTTGTTATTTTCCATTTCATATATGGGATGTCATCCTTCCCATTGACAAACTCATATTTTTGAAGGTGGTTATTGCACCACGAACCAGATTACTATTAAACTCTAACGGCTAGCCATTCTATCTTCATTTTTCCCAGTTAGAGTCGCCCATGTTTCTCGGTTCAATTCACGTGATCTCAGCGAGATCACGTGATCTCTTCCTACCTGCTGAAATATCGACAAGGTGGTGCCGCACCCCAGTTATGGGTGTTCAAAGCCATTAAGTAGTTCGATATATCCGTATCCCCTTTTTGAACCATAGATATTTTATCATAAATCAACTATTTTTATTCCACGAAGTCCCTATTTCTTGCACAAACCGCCATGTTCCTATGGTTTTTTCCAATGCTTTTCTTGCCTCAGGATCCAACGGATCGCGCGAGGGATCCCTCGATCCCGCGTGGTTAGACGAGGTGGGCGCGAAGGGTAACCAGAGTTATGGGGGATTGATCATGGGACCATATGTGATAATAATAGTAGAACTGGTTGGTGGTTTGGAACATCAATTTTATGACTTTCCATATATTGGGAATAAGAAGCCCAACTGACAAACTCATACGTTTCAGAGGGGTAGGTATACCACCAACCAGATAATGTATTATGATGGTTAATGATGGATATATTATCCCATGATAGTATTTATGGATACCTATATTATATATGATAATAATAACCCATATGCTCCATGGTGCTGGTATATTTACCTACAACACTGGGTCATTTCTGGGATAAATGGTGGTGAATATTCCAGCACCATGGAGCATATATAGGTAATATATAGTATATAATAATGGTTAATAATGGATAATAATGGATATTGATGGATAATATTAATCGATATTACATGATATGATATACTTGATACTGATGATGAAAGAAAATAAGAATGGATATTATAATGGATCTCGACCCTCCGATTGACAATCATGGATATGACATACGTATTTGGAGGATCGAGAAAGGTGGTGTATTACAACTATGTTTTCACGATGGTTTATGGATGTTTATGGCAGATAATAATTATAGTGGATATTATCTACTACGACTAGTTGTAGCTAACTAGTGAATGGTTTGATGTAGAAGTGACCAATTGGACCAATTGGAGAAATTATTGGTCAATGTGGGAATACTAATGGATATCATATACTTGTGAAGGATGGGAAATCATATATGTTTTTTTCTATGTTAACTATATGGTTTATGGCAGATATATCGAACTAGTGTGATTTGTAAGCTAACTTATAACAAATTCCCTTGCCGTTAGTAGTTGAATCGGCTTATCAGCGACGCACCAGTAAATTCTTCAGAACATGACCGTGGTTAAACCCTGGGTTGCGGATTTTTTTTTTCACGAACTGGATGGTCTGATGCAAGGCCAACTCTGAGATGCTATTCATAGTTTACTCCATTGCAGAGGTTTCTCACTTTTTTGATGCTTGTCTCCCGAGTTTCCGCGGTTCAACACTTAGACGCTCCAACGTTGCACAAAGGACAACAGATCCAACAGGAGACATATACCGTTGTCATGGGGATCGGACGATGTCGTGAGGAAACACATGATATGACAAGACCTAGAGATCCGTATTGCAAAACAAGAGTTGCAGAAATATTACGATGGATCTGGGCTATTTAGGGTTGATCACGACACCGTCTAGGGTTTATCACGACACCGCCGACATTTTAGGGTTTACCACGGCACCGTTTGGGGGTTTATGACGACACCGCCGACATTTTAGGGTTTGTCACGACACCGCCGACATTTTAGGGTTTACCACGGCACCGTTTAGGGGTTCTGACGACACCGCCGACATTTTAGGGTTTACCACGGCACCGTTTAGGGGTTCTGACGACACCGCCGACGCTTTAGGGTTTACCACGGCAACGCCCAAGAACACCACACACCTGCAACAGGCCTATAGCTGTAGTGAGAAGTTTCGGCAGCTCACCGCAGAAGCAGTATAGCCAAAGCAAAAAATATCCAAGAGTTTCTTTGCAAATCTACAAAGGATGTTTATTGGATGCATAATTTCTATGCAAAATCTACAAAAGATGCTACATTTGCACTGCCAATTCTTCAAATATATGAATTGCGTCATGCACTGGTGGATTTACTTGAGCCAGCTAGAACAACATTGTAACCTTTTTTCGCTGGTAAGTGTGGGCCCCGGGGCCATGTGGCGACGGGAACCACACTTACACACACACATATATATATATATAGATTTATTTGTTTATATATAAAGTACCACCAACCCCCAAACAAATAGGTCTAATATCAACTTTCAATGTTGAATGGAATGGACTTGTCGTTTGGGGTGGCCGTAAGGTTATGGTCTGAATTTGGGAAAAGTTGTTCCACAGTCGACTACTGAATTTGGGAAAGGTTATGATATGGCATGGCCTGTTGTTTGGGAGCCCCGCAACATTTCAAAATAATGGTCTTCGTTTTCGCGTTTTGTTTTTGTGACCAACCCCATTTGATGTCCATTTGAAATTCGCGATCATCTCCTATGAAGTGAGCTGGAGCAAGTTACAACCTCAGGGTGTAAACTTCGAGTAGTATTATTTTGTGTACGACCATGGTGTTGTGCCAACACGACTTTTTTCAGGGCATAGCGGCATATCTAATAAGTGTGTCATGAGCATATGTATGTGTATATATGTAAATATAGTTACATAGATACAAGTATATATATATATATAGATATATCTACGTATATGTAACTGTAAATATATTTATATATATATATTTACATATGCATATCTGTCTACATATATATATATATATTTATTTATTTATACCTCATTATATATAGATATATTATATATATATGCATACATAAATATCTATTTGTAGATAATTTACTTAATGTTACATCCCGCATGGTCCAATCGATCGAACTGCTTTCGGGCCTTCCGCCCCGTTTTGGCTGTAGACACTTAGTCCCTCAACGGCAATGCTGATTTAAATATATTTAAATGTCAGTTCGTGGATCAAACCCACCAAGAAAAATCATAACTTCCGAACATAAAGTAGAAGTTGACACACTACAACAGGGGGCCCAAATTCGTCACCGAAATCATCCCACATCCCTTGCAACCCTGGATAGCCATGGTGGCTTTCTGGTGAAGCTGGTTTTGCGTGGCGACCTGTTGGTCTTTGGAATCGTGGCTGCAACAGCCCTGCAGCCAACCCAGCAGCGTCAGTTCAGTGGTTTTTCCCAAAAAGGGTTCCCTATATAGTAAACATCACAAATACTGAGATTTTTTTGGTGGTTATTTTTTGAATGGTGTTTACCCAAATGCGTATGGATTGAAGTCTTGTTAAACTTTCTTTCTGGAGTACTGACGCCATTAAACCATTTTGGCCATGTAGCCTGAGAGGGCAACTAGGTACCGCTCTATAGTCCTTTTTTGGACCGTACTGCCGTGGCAACGGCACGCTGTTTTTTTTTATGGAACCTAAAAACTTTTCATCTGACCATACGTGGTGAATTCGTGGGTTCACCCTTGTAGTCAACACATCCATGGCAACATGCCACAGGTAGTGGTGCTTTGGCCTCATTTTGAAGGCCATAACTGAATTACTCCAACACCACGACGCCAAGAATTCAGTTGACCGAAGGTGTTGGTGCAGCATCCGTGAAATTTCCTAAGCGGACAGTGCAGTAATGAGGGCCACTGGCACAAAGATTTTTTTTCCATCCAGAAAGCGGCGTTAATGTCATAATGTTGCACTATGATCCAAACTTTTGCATATATGAACATACCAGGTAAAATATCCTTTGGGGATGTTGGCATCACCTGTGGGAGGCTGTAGGCTATATAGGAGGTGCAAATGATTTGCAACAGTTCAAAAACCAAATGACAGAATCTTCAAAGATAGCCTGCAATTTGTGGTAATAAAAAATGTTACCCAGGAAACTTGGGATGCGATATTTAAATCAAGGGGCACTGGCTTCGTCTGGGTTCAAGATTAAACCAGCATCATCCATCAAAGCCTGCGCTTTGGCCAAGGAGTGGCAGCAGAGGTTCAGCAGCTGGAGGACAAGGTTGTCCTGAGAGACTTGGCAAATGGCGGTTGGAACGGAAGGTTGCAGGTCACCGTTCACACTGGGAAAAACTGGTCAAAAAATCATAAATAGGTTCAAATCAAGAATCAGAGTTTTCTGTAAGTTGTTGCACTTTGTGGGCAATCCACCAAACCATAACCCGAATGTGGGCAGCTTTGAACCTGGAACCCAGCTCACAGTAGTCTTCAGAACCAAAGGAACCACAGTTGGTAACGCTCAAAACCCTGCGGGGCAAGTAGATCCTTGTTGATTCATGCAGACCCTTTGCAAAAGGAAAGTAGGTTTAAGAATTGGAGCACCCCAAAAGCATGCAAAGAACACCAGTAAAAATTATAAAACATACCTTGGCTTGCTACAAGGTGCTTTCGCTCCTTGCAGTCTTGTTTCATTTCCATGCTAACTCGCTTGAGGAACTTTTCATCAGACTCCCCTCCTTCATAGTGGTACCCGTAAAGCTTCAAGATTTTGAGGCAAGATGGGATGTGGTTTTTGGCTATGCCCAAGTAAACCAAATGCATCATGTCAAAGGACATGGTTTCAAACTGAAAACCCGGCACTGCACACCATGGCGACTGATGCCTTGCAGTCTGCAAGTATTCGTCGTGGTCCTTGCAAGTTGATGCATAGGGAGCGTCTCTGGCAGTGTTTTTGTAAGTCATGGGATGGGGCCGTGAATCCATTGGTTGTATCGCCATGCAACGGTCACAACATTTTTTGCAACGGTAGTATTGTTCCAACCTATGGCATTGCATCCGGGCTTTCAAGTCGGCCTTGAAAGTCATGTACACCAACCTGCAGCTGGCCAAGAGGGCCAATGACGCAAGATAGATGGTTCAGGGTTGGGCTCCATCCCAAATAGAAAACATATGAAAAAATATTTCTTTTCAAGGAGCTTGTAGCCACCTGCAATCTGTTTTCCAGACAAGCTAGACCTGTACATGTTGCTGTCAAACCTTTCGCCATAAAAACCACGGCTGGGGTAGATGCCTCGCGAAGCCCAGCTTAGACTCCATGCCACCACATCCGCTAGGGTCTTGTTGACTCCTTGTCGGACCTTGTGTTGGGCCGTGGGCACAACAATATATTGAACACAAGTCATGCTTTACCAAACCACGCAGATGAACCATCTTTCAATATATCATGCACCATTTGCCATGACGGCCATTGCGACTCACAACTATGGAAATCTTTTTTGGGGGTTGCTCCCTGAAATCAGAAAAACCAGGGAGCCCGTGTAACTTTGAGGGTGATGTAGGCACATGAGAATAAAATTCTTCAAGAACAAAATTCTTCAAAAGCCAAAGGTCTTCATCATCACTCATGTGAGATTCTGCAACCAGTGAAATAGGAAACCGGCTTAGTAGGTTGTCATTACCAGAGCCTGTTTGCAGGGCAGTAGTCCAGCTCATCACAAAGTATTCGGAATGCCTATGAAACTCAGCACCGTCTCCATGAATAGCAAAGGGTATGGCCTTTGTCAATTCCTCTTCAGACAAGTTGTGGAGAACATCATGATACTTGTAGCTGGATAGTGTTTTGAGATGCTTCCAGAAATGGGCTATGGAATCGCCACCATGGCCGCCACACATCATCGAGCGAAACTGACAGGGTTGTTTGGGTTTGTCTCAAACTTCATAGCGCACCGTACTGAAAGCCAAAAATGAAATCAATCGAAACAAATCACTATGCAGTATTTTTGGGGTCCAACGTTTGAGACAAACCGATATGATAAGGAATCCGTGTTTAAAAAAACAATGTGGCAATGTTTTCCCGGTGTTGTATGTTTATATATATATATAATATAATGAATAAGTACATCAGTCAATAAATGAACATATATATATATATGAAAATATCTATATATGTATGTGTGTGTAAGATCTTGTGGGGGTGTTCTACGACGTGGTATTGGATCTGTGCACTTCGGGATGTAGCTATGCAAGTTTAAGGGAACCACCTGCATAACCCCTTCTGGTTGGTTTTCGGAATTGCAAACTTCTGTTTTCTGAAATCATACTTTCTTGGGGTGATGATTATTGGACTTTTTGGTAGACAAATCTCTGCCTTGTGTTCCCCCATGCTATGCAAAGCACCAAATACCTCATGAGGTAGCAGCACAGATGCATCCACGATCTGAGGATCCTCGTCTCGTTCTACCTGAGCAGAGCGACTCCATTGATGGAATCTCGGCAATCGTTGGGTTGGGCAAGTAAGATGGTATACCTATATTTTAAATATATATATATATGTATACCTATATATATATATGTATACATATATATATATAGGTATACATATATATATATATATACATATATACACATATATCTATACATATATATGGGGGGAAATCCAAGCTTTATATGAAACTATCTTGCAAAAGAAAAACGTTTGGTCAGTCTAAGGGACTTGCAATTTCAACTTGATGTTGTATGGTTGCAGTTGCAGCCCATTTGCTCCCCGCAGTAAACGTTGGAAATCCCTTTCAGTGTTTTGGCTGTGTTTCCCATGGGAACCACAGGCAGCAAGTTGCCGAACCCCATCATGGATAGGATGAGAAGCTGAATCAACTTCTACAGCCCTTGCAATTTCAGCCGCAGTTTCCACATGAGCAGAACCCCTGCCAACCATGTCAACCAGGGTGTCAAATAGTAAGCTCTGACCCGAAGAGACAGGGCCCAGTTTGCACCTTTTGGCATTGGCAGCATTGCCTGGCAAAACGGTTTTTGGAAGCAAACCACCAATGGAAAATTGTTGGGTGGTTAGAATAAATGTATACAGTGTACCCAAAAATCATGCAAAAGGGATGGGGTGTTCTCACCGAATGATACTGGGAGCTAGTGATGCACATGTCAATGATGGACACCATATGCAGTGGTAACGACAATCAACAATGGAACCACGTTAATGACATGCTCTTTCCCACTGATGCTGGATTGATTGGGATCCTTTTTTTCCGTCAGAGAAGCTCTGTCCGATGTTGAACTCCAAGTGCATGCTGTTTCAAGCATGGCTAACCCCAAGACATCTCCTTTTCAAGAGACCTAAGTTCTGGCTTTGGCCTTGGCTTTGCCTTTGGCCTTTGCTTTCTTACTCTCATTCAAGCCTTTGAGAATCCCAGACGCAGATGCCTCAGGGGGCACCGCATGAAGTATCCAATCCCAAAAAGACATAAACAAGCTAACAAATAATTCTGAATATTGTTGTCCCAATGATGTGATGTTTGGATGGAAGTCTAGGGTCCCATCACTTATCCCTGGTAGAGAAATACCATGGCTTTTAAGAAATGGAAAAGATCCCTTAAAGCATCAAAGAAACATGTTTTTATTCAACACCAAACCTCTGCTTTCTTGTACCAGTTCTGCATGGTTTCGATCTTCCCAAGGGTGCATTTGATCTTTGACTCATCAGGCGAATTCATCTCCACGTTGTTCTTTAGCTCGGTGTAAAGAGTTTCCATCCCATTCCCATGTTTGAGTAACTGGTGAGCCAACTCATCCGCGAATTGCATCCCCCTGAGCTGGATGTTCTTTTGACGGGCCTTGGTAGCCTCGTCCAGGACTGGTTGTAGAAGCTCTTTGGCATGCCTGGGCATCGCTGGATGGCTCATGCTGCAATGGGAAACTTGGAGACTGCCTTTGAAGATGCTTGGTGATAAGGAAGGATTCATTAGGGTAAAACTTTGGATGTGATAGGATGAAACCACAGAGGGCTCAGTAACAAGGGTTTCTTGCGAAAAATCAAATCAAGAAATGAAATCAGCGAGTTTGGGAAGTCATCGAAACGCAGTGCCAACCAGGGCCATGAGACATGTCCACGTTTCAGAGTCGTTTCATATCATTTCTGTTTAGGTTAGAGATCCATGACAGCAGTGCTTTGATCTGCTTTGAGATGTTCACGTGTCAGAACGGTTGAGTGACAATGACTAAAGATAGCACTAAGTTTTAATCAACCCGGCTTTGTGGAACACACCATGGTGGGAATCTGATTGGTGATGATTTGGAAACCCATTTCAAGATCAACCAAAACATTTCAGTGAATTACCTGTTGGCTATCATTTGAGACCCCGACTCTAGGACAGTCTTCGGTGAAATCTTTTCAGCTTCACCTGGCTTGGCCTTTTGCTGCCGCTTGGGTTTCATCACCTGCTTTCCATCATCATCCAAGGCACTCAAGACTGCACGCTGGCCAGCCTCTGATGCAGCCTTCACCGCAGGCAAGGCACCAGCCGGGAGGATGCCTCCCTCTTCAGCTGTCAGGGCATTGAACAGCCCCTGATCAAGTTTCTTTGTAGCCTTTGTTGACACACTCTCGGATACCAACTCATCCTGCCTCAAGAGACGACCTTTGGGCATGTAGATCCAGTTCTCCTGCGCCGCAGGGCAGTTCAAATAATGTTGGAAGAGCCCCTGAAGTTCATTAGATAGTTATAAACTTTTGAACTCTGTTTTACAAAACCATTGAAAATAAACATTTGGGAACCCCAGTCCATGGGATCAGACGGGAAGTCCAAATCCTGGTAGTAGAGACCTGCATCGATTCGCTTCTTGATAAGTTCATCAAACTTTGACTGCTCCATCCCCGCTTTGAGTGTTTTGGCCTGTACGGCAACCCACTCGGACCTAGCCAAGTTTGTGCTCTCAGCTCTCCTTTCTACTTCACATTGGACCCGATCCCAATCCTCACCGAAATCCAACCATAGCCCAAACAAGTCCGTCTTCTTTTTACGAAGAAGAGGTTGAAGTCCTGTCGGGAATTGGCCTCCCTTCGTCTGTCGGTCGAAGCGGTCCCACTCGCGTTTATTGGTCTTGCCTCGGCTGGGAAATGATGTTGAGGAACAATAGTAAAATACAGATGCAAAGAGCCTCAAACCAGTGGTAATGGTTGATCAAGCAGTTGTAGTGGTCAGCAACAAAGACCGACAGGATAAAGTCTATCTAAGTGTCTTTCAGATCATGATAAATCATGATAATACTGGGCTATATCTTGTGCTGGAATGGAGGATCACACCCCTTGACGTTCGTACAAGTTGCTGTTTCTGGTGGTGTTGGCAATTGCGATCTGCAAGGCTTCATCTTTGGCTTCATCTTTGGCTTTCTGGTCTTCATTTTCTTTGCTCTTCTCCTCAGCCTTTCTGCCTTCTTCTTCTCCATCATCTTCACTGGAGCTTGGATCAGAGGCCGCCTCATCTTCAGTACCCTCAAAAACCGAGTCATCATTCGAATCACCACCATCGCTCATGTCTCCATCCTCCTGAGCCTCATCATCATCATTATCATCACCCTCCTCTGCTTCTTCTTCTTCTTCTTCTTCCTCATCAACCTCTGCTTCTTCTTCTTCGCCTTCCTCGTCCTCCTGTGCTTCATCTGCTCCTTCCTCTGCAGCTTCATTGCCCTCATCGTTGGTTTCCTTTTTTTCTGCACGTAGTTCTTCAAGCAAACCTTCCATGCTCATGCCAGCACAGTCCAAGTGGGCATTTTCCTCAGCCTCTTTCACTGCTGCACTCAAGCCAAGCCTCAACTTCGCGAAGTGGGCCTCGGCCATATCCTTGGTGGACTGGTAGCGAGTGGAGGTGGCATCAGTATGGATACTGGAAGAGCCACTGGCAGTGCTTTCAGTGGGAGATTTCATGCGAAGCCTCTTTGCAGGTGGCGTTGTGGGTGCGGGTCCTGGCACACTTGCCTTCTTTAACTCGAGTGCTAAAGCCCTTTCCTTTTCCTCCTTCTCTTTTGTCTTTTCGGCAGCCTCCAATGCCTCAGCATTCTCCTTCGACTTGTTACCTGCTTTTGTGGCCTTGGTGCTATCACCTGGCTTCTTCCGC